CTCGCTAAGAAAAGAGATACTACAGTATCTAAGGATGTTAGGACATCTAAAGCATCTTTAGATGCTAGACTATTTAACAGATGCTACAGATGTTAGGTGTAACGATGTTACAACTTCGCCATGTATCGGACCAATCCCAGAGCCGGATCGGAGGTAGTACTCGCCGCCCTCTTCATCAACCACTCGTTGTGAGGTCGGATCCGATTCGGATCCGACTAAGATAAGTATATAAGGAGACACTCCCTGTAGCTAGCTCTGTAGACTTTTGATATCCTTTCGTACAAGGCCTATAGGTGTCTATTCGAATCAAGGCTCGTTTGATGTCCCACGCACTCCCATATGCCTCTGAGTGACACTACCGCCGATACTGATCCGAGTAGTCTTGCCTGCGCCGTTACATTAGGACTGGAAGTAATGAGGATATAAGAATAGATGGATTTCATTATTACTCTCGTTGTAGTCAACTCAAATTGTACTTTCTTACTAGTATCTTTACTTAACAAGATTGTTACAAGTTAGTCTATCAAATAGATTAGTCTTATTAAACCCTCCTTAAGCACGCCAACTCTACTGTATCGCCAGACAAGCCTCACGGAACACTAACGTAATACTCACCTGCCTTAGTGCGGACCAGGATAGAGAAGTATAGACCCATACCCCGTGTAACAGTACTAACAGTTTCTTTAGCATCGCCGTACTATAATCTTCTTAGACAAGTGCTTAGTTTAGAAGAGTTCTAATACTTAATAGGAGTAGTGTTTTTAATATCTAGATAAGAAATAGAAGCGGGATATAATAATAGAGGTTTGCCCTATATAGGGCCTAAGGCAGATAGTGTAGGGAGCTATATAGCTTAGTCGTCGTGGACGACCTTATCGTAGTCTACTTATAATTATAGAAAGGGATATAGATACTTCGCGTAGTAAGTACACTAGCTAAAGTTACATCTAAACCCTTCGTTAGGGGTTACTCTCTTACTACCGTCTAGATTAGACCTTTATATAGGATAACGCACGTATTTATACAGCTACTATTATCTAAAACTTTCTTCACGATTACTATATTAGAACACTAGATTAGCTAGCTAACTCCCCGGATCTTAACCCTATCGAATACCTCTAGTAGGCACTTAAAAACAGTATGCATTAAAACTATTTATAGTACTAAAATTATAGTAAAGCTTAAGCTAAGTAGCATAGGTTTTGTAAAGCTCTTAAAGAGTGCTAGAGTAAAATATTAAATAAGACGATTCTAGGACTAATCAGCTCTATGCCGCGCCGCCTTGCGGCCTATCGCAAGGCGCGAGGCTATTAAACAAAGTACTAGTATATAGAGAATACAATCCTTTTTCAGCTTCCAATTTTATGTTGTTTTGGTGGAGATATTGGTGGTTGCAGCATATTAGTCGGATTTGGGTGGGGGCGGAGATTCAGCTAGCGCGGCGAAACTTTTGGCTTAGTACTGTAGTAGTTTGAAGTCGAAGTCTTTTTCTTTGAAAGAAGCAGAGTGGTATCATTTGAAATGCAACTTAATGACATCTTATATATGTAACTGGCAGCAGCAGGATCGGTTACTAGTTATCCGACAGTGGCGATATTCGAATGATATTCGAGTAAGCGCTAATAGATCATGTCTTAGCGATGACTTAGAATGCTGACATGTTCATCTAGGGTCGGAAAGAGGTGGTCTCCGTGAGAGTTTCAATCACATGCCAGGGGTGGGCCATGTCATATTGTTCGAGAGAATTCACGTGATGTTATCGATATCCCAGTGCCTTACCTCCAGCTTCGGCCGAATACTAAGGTATATCACGTGACATACTACCTATTGCTACCTCAATGTACTTGTACGGTGCTCGGAACGAACGATTAACCGGTTACAACTCGGAACTGGGCGGAAGATATTTGAATTAATAGTCATTGCCTTTCGGATTTCATTTCCATCCGACCCGAGATGCATAGTTACATCTTCGCGCTTATACTACAAGTACTTTGGCAGCGAGGCAAGCAAGGATCACATGCAAGATGAAGGTGGTGTATTACACCAAAGCGAACCCAGGTTAGGAGGTATATAAAGCGGCCTAGTGCAGATCATTAATATGTGTACAGGCTATAACCAGGCTTGCCAAGTGCTCTATGTATCGAGCATAGCCCGACGCAGCCATGCTTACATATTCCATACTGTACTTAAGTATACATAAGCATGCTAACATAATTGATGACATGTGCAGTGTTAGTCATGAGCCAAAAGGGTGCAGTTACCCTGTGACCAATATGGCAATTGCAGATATGAATGCTCAAATAGTGTTGCTATCGAGTGCATACACATGCATGCAAGCCTGTATTACATCAATGCAGGCTCTACTTCCTTGGTGCACCAGTCTGCTGCGGCCTAATTGGATGGCTAGTTGAATGATTTAGAGCCAATTCGGCATGCGACTTCCATATTGAATTAAAGAAACATAGTCAGGTTCTCATATAATTCACGTGATGCATCGAAGATCATGTGTATGCTAGGCGTATCTATGTCTTATCAGTGATTCTTGAGTAATTCTTGAAAAAACTATTTTTATAGAGCGGAAGCCAAAATTTCTTGGCCTGATCCAACTGGCGTCAATCAAAACTTTCCTAATCCTGTGCAATGATGGAAACAAAATATAGGGGTACTTTTGATTTAGTATCATTTCGCTCCGCGGAAAAGAACTCTGTACACCAGGGCTCAAGGAGGGGACAGCTATTGGTACTAGTACTGCTAGCATGGGTAGTTCTACTGGGGTTACGATAACGATTGCTGGAAGAAGTCCGAGTACTACAGGCGCACCAGATCCGGGGGACTAAGACACATTACGTTCCATAAGCATAGACATCCAGATGAGCCGTAAGAGATAGCCATAACTATACTGGTGTTTTGATAAATCGACTAATATGCACACGTCTGGGCTGCTTACCCTTCGTGTGCGTTATATTGTGGACCACGCATTATCAATAGGAACCATAGCGCCGTTTATCATTTGTGATTCGTCTGAGGCGAGGAAGGCGATACCCCGCGCGACATGATCAACACTTATGTAGGGAACAGGTGTTCCCTCGTTATCTTTGGACACGTGAAGCTGCACAATCGGGCTAACAGAGTAAGCCATTGTTATATATAGCAAGCGAGAGGTTGCTTACAAAAAAGCGTTGAAGCCGGCGGAATCAAAATGCTCCATCTGCACTGAACTTGCAATGTTTGTGGCGACGCTTCCTGGTAGCACGCCATTGCAGCGAATTCCTTCGTTATGGAACCGCCATGCGACATTTTTGGTAGCACCAACCTATCACTTTGTTAGTACTAACCATGCATGTGGGGATTGTCTACGTACTAAGCCATGTTTGCTGGCTGTATAAGCAATTCCTGCACTTGCGCCAGACATGCCCGCCTTGCTAGCCACATTGACAATAGCACCCTTTTTCTGTGATTTCATGGCGGGCAGTACTGCTTTCATCATACGAATCGGCACGGTCAAGTTAATGGCCATGACTCTTTCCCATTCTTCCTCGTGGATGGTGTCGGCGCTACTCCACCCGTCACTAACGCCCGCGCAGTTGACCAGGACGTCAATACGATCGTGCTTGCCAATGCATTTTGCCACTGCATGTTCAACGGCTTGAGAATCTGTAAGATTGGACTGATAGAAGATAAAAGTCGAAAAGTCCTCAATGAGCTTCTGGGGCTGTGCACCAATATCTATACCAAAGACAGAAGCTCCACGTTCCAGGAAGAGGCGGGTTGTCGCGAGGCCTATACCGGAACTGCACCCGGTGATTATAGCAACCTTATCTTGAAGGGAAGCGATAGACATTGCGTGGAATTGAAGCTTTATCAATAAGACTGGACGGTAGGATATGATTTGTATGATGGTGGTGCATGTGATTATTTGGTGGACGATGCGCAGCGCCGGAAAATCTAGCATGACGTCAACGGTTAGCGCGACAACCTGGGTTAGGGTTAAATTTACATGCGTATTCAAAGGCACAACACAAGTTCAACAAGTATATTTCTCTAAAACTCTACACCTACAATAACTACTCTAAATCCAATCATACAAGTGGAGCTCGCCCATGGCTCAAACGACCACCACCCTCAGACTCGGTACACCATACCCTGATATGATTCTTCTCGATCACTCTACTGAATCACCTCCTCCATGCGATGCACGTCGCTGTCCTTGGTCCATCTTCTGATCTTCTTGCCTAGACCATAGTATAGTGGGAATGCGAAAAGAGCCGGGCCAACGGTGCAAGCGAAGATGACCATGGCCGGGGTCATCCACCCGTCCTTACTCTCATGTGCTAGATCAAAGACCCAATAGCTATACGAGAAGGCGATGAAGTTCTTGCATACAGTCGCCACCACCATGATTTCACCAGAGATGGGTTTGTAGCAGTCGATTGCGTAAGTGATGCAAATGGTAGGCACCGTGGTGACACTGAGTCCGGCGAAGCCATAGCCCCACACAACAATGTGGCCCCATGCCCATTGATGCTGGTACGTGAGGCCTCCGAGGATCAAAGAGAGCATGGTGATGATCATATAAAACCAAAGTGCAGGAAGACGCATCTCTGCTTCGCGCACACCACCATTCTTGCGAGTCGCCCGAGCAGCCACCCAATCCGAATACGGGCCTGCTGTCGCAAGACCCACCAGCGCACCGATGGCGAAGGCGAAGTTCGTGTAGCCAACTTGGTCGGGTCGGAAGAGGTAGGGTGGCGCCGCAAGGATCGGGGACTCGGTGATATTGAAAAAGAGAAGAAGATCAGCCGGACCAGCCAGCATCAACCCAGCCCATAAGATAATGGGGTTGAAGAAGACCTTGATAGGAGTCCATGTATCGCGGACAACAAACATCTTCCATCTAGGGTCGGGCTTCCGAAACGGCATGAATTGTGCACGAGACGGGCGGCCATTCGCCATTACAGAAACATCCAACGTATCCTGGTCCAAGTCGTCGGTTGTAGTAAGTGTGGCTTGTTTTTCGAGCTGGCTGTCGTCTTCGCTGTTGCGCTCATCATTCTTGGCTTGTACGAAACTATGGGTTGCGACGGCAGAGCCGCCACGATGGTACTTTGTTTCCGGGAAGGTGAATGCGATAAGAATGATTGAGACACCTGAGAGTGCTGTCTCGAGCCAGAAGAACGATTGCCAGCCGTAATGACTTCCGATGGCGCCAGCCATAATAGGACCTAGGAAGGCTCCCATGAAATATCCAGTGCTGTATCAATGTTAGGAGTTGCTCACGCATATCACAGCCGCACTTGTACTTACAAGTATACACCCGTCCATAGGCCTCGTTCGTGCAGATAAAAGACATCAGCAATCATCTGGACGGGAATGCTCTCACTGGTCGCACACACTAGACCATTCACCGCCCTAGCTGCCAGCAGACTGCTATGGCTCGTCGCTAGCGCCTGCCACACGCATGTCAAAAGAATCAGCACAGAAAACACCAGACTAATGGCGCGACGTCCGAAGATGTTGGACAGTGGCACAATGATGAAGTTTGCGAAGCCCAGCGTAATGACAGTAATGCCAGTCAACATGGCTAACTGATTGTTGTTTAAATGGAACTGTGCACCCAGCAGTGGGAACATTGGGGCTATGGATAGCGCACCAGTCACAGATATCCACGTAAAGAGCCATTGCGAAGCCATCACCATCACTGTAGCCTGTCAGTATGGCGATAATAGTTCATCTTTGGCAAAACATACTCTTCCATTTACGGCTCCAGTTGAGGGGATCTCGTGGATCAGAAGACGGCTTCGGAATGAGTTGTTTCTTCACTGAACCATCATTGTTCATGACCTCAGTGCCAGGGATGAGTTCGACATTGTCGGGGTTAGCAGCCATCTTTTTACAGTTGATATCGATAGACGATGGAAGTTGAGGTTGATCTGAGGTTGACGGAGTGAAGAGAACACTTATATAGTCTCCGGTACAACGTGGCATTCACACCAATGGCACTCTACATTCTGCCGATGATGTACTCCAAGTCCGCGTCGGAGAATACGTCGATACGAGGACGATGATTGGAACACGATCTGCAGTGAGAAACCTTGATCATCGTCCCAGCTCTGTTCTGACACTATCAGTTTAAGTTGCACTAAGCAAAGACTGCGACGATGCTTCTGGCTCGTACCTCCGTAGTGCATCGCTGACCCTTGTAAAATTTCCATTTACGATGCATTTTCAGTCTTGGCAATAGTTCGTGGAGGCCTGGATAACACGGTTCCCATGTTTGGGATCCTTTAAGAGCAAGGCCCACACGATAGTATACCACATAATTTCTAAATTCCTGGAGGTGGGACATGCATAGCGGTATTTACAACGCTAACCTCTATGGAAAAGCATCAATAAGCGCGCAGAACGTGTCAGCAGCTCTTGCTCCCATTGATCCAAGGAACATGATGGCGAGAGCTTCAGACTATCGCCTTACAAGCGCATCAACATTATCTGGTTTTTCTCTCCAGACCCGGAGTTCCGGAATATGCAAAAGTTGGAATATGGAGTCGAGCCTTGGGTAGCAGAGGAGCTAACATGCACCATTTCGCAAAGATGGCGCTGCGATAGACCTGAAGCTTGACTACTACTATCGGCTTTGAAAGTGGAGACCCACGTCTGTGCTAGCGACGGGCGCCGTCCGGGATCGCGCGTCGGAACTGCGGGGAGGCGTGCTGACAGCGATGCACCATCGTCAGCCCTGGATAGTCAAGATCGCGGGGATTGCGTCTCCAAACCCCTCGGAATTTTTCAATTCTGGATTCTGCAGGTTTCCTATTATAGCAAGAATTGAAATTGTCCTATACATGTATGCTCCGCGCCGATGGTCATTATTATGAGTGAGCTGAAGACAAGGCGCAACTAGAACCAGCGTCGCAAATGTCGAACTTACCAGATAAGAGCAAACTCATGAATTTCTTATTCAACGATGGTACCTGAAAGAAGAAAGATTTGGATAACGCCTGCATGATTGAGTGTCGGTGAGAGACTATCTCCCTTAGTCTACCCCTGCAAACCCAAGGGTTTGTCAAAGCCATGATGTCCAAAACCTTATTAAGAATTGAAATGCTTATTTAAAGTTTCTGAAATTTCTGGTTCTACTATGTGCTAGTGTCTTCTGGCGTTTGCATGTTGTCTGTAGTAGTAAATTCGCACACGTTTGAGGGCTCTACTTGGGCTGGTGCCTTATCCTGAACCGACACATATTTCGGATAGCATAGCAAATCAACCAGAAAGATAAAGTGGTAATCATAGTGATACTGCTTTGCTATATTATGCAGTACCTTCTTGGTGCGTATTTGATGAATGTGATAGCGCCGCCATCCGTACCGGACTTCCGTTGGTCGCATCTTTTCGGAAACAACCCAGAATGCCTTGATGCAAAACTGGTATCAACGGGTTTAATCGGTAATCTAGCAACTTTATCAACTGCGACTCTATTGCTTACCGATCTTTCGATCGTTTCAGAGTAATATCTTCTTTTGCTAGAGATAAGCCAGGGAACAAGATACAGCATGCCTAAATTGTCCAATAATTAGGCTCACAGCACGTCCGCGAGTTATATGGATGAAGAAGAATATGCATGTTGATCAGAAACCAAAACATAATAGCGCCAATCCACTATCAAAGAAGCGAAAGGTCTCTGAACTACGTCCAATCTTGAAGTGGAGGTGCGCCCGCATTCATTTACACACCACTTACATCGGTATCTCCACCGCCATAAGAGCTACTATCTGTCCCAATTAATCTCACTCCTGCTCATTCTTTTCCGAGCTAGTTGAAAAGTTCTTTCCGGATGTATATTGCAACGTTCGACATGCCTTCACTGTCGCAGATGTCGTAGCATATTGAAAAGCACAGTGATACTTCTGCAAATATGGTATTCAGATTGCTGAAAGTGAAGAGGTCAACGGAAATTTCTAACTAGATCTAGCTCGAAGTTGAAACCTTAGCTGATTGATAACAAACTCGGTGCTAGGAATAACGGAATATAGCTCTTGCACTTTAAGAATTAAGTAACGAATAGCATTCAACAGTGGCATCAAAGTACAAAATTCAAAACTTCAATGACTGTTTAATACTGGCAGCAAGGCGCCAGAGACCGTGGTCAAGCTGCAGTTGCATAGCAAGATTGCTCACTTCTAGGAGTCTCATTCGATAAAGAAAAACTGTGTTCGTCGCGAAGTGAACTGAGATTATCTCTGAACAGTGCGACCGTACCTCAAGTCTATGGATCTGCTCTATTGCACTGCGATAGCTCGTGCCCGAAATCACTATCTTCAGTTCTCTTTTATCTTCCCAAATCGCTTCTCTTGCTGCCTGGACTCTTCATTTTATGTGTAAATGTGGTGATCGACAACGAGCATAATACCTCTCTAATCGTCGGTATCACTATACACTCCGGCCATCGCTCCGGACAAGGATACTCTTGTCAACTGACCAGTTTTTTTGGAAAGCCCCACTTCCAGGAATGTTTCACAAATGCTCTATAGTATTTGCAGAATCCACCTTGTTGCTCTTTATCGGCAGTTGGTGACGAGCCTATCCGCAGCATGCCACGCTCGAGGCACCAAAGGTCGCGTGGCTGTGTGGAGCAATATGCGAAGCGAAAGCTTAATGGAACCTACCTCTTATAACATTGAAGCAACTGCCGATTCGCTGCATAGATTGAATATTTATCCGGACGACACAGGAAAGGACCAGGCCCAGTCTCTGACAAACAGTTGTTGAATAATGATACAGTTCATAATTGGAGATGCCATTATTGGTACACTTGTTAATTATCAAATGACTCTTCATCTTCGCTTTATACAAGGTGACATTCCATATCATGGCTGATGAGATCCAGGAGTTTAGCGTGTGCTTAAAAGGTCTATATGCTCACACGATGTTTCCTCATTCTGTCCCAGCAACTTCCTTCTGAAAGCTGTTTACGATGTTTTGGTATACACTTGCTACCATTCTGCTCCTGACACAATGTGTCTTATCCCAGAATATGTTACGATTCGCATGTTCGCAGCTGACTGTTGAACGAGCGGATCCACTTGTAACTCCCGGGCAGCGGCCTTCACCGCATACCCATCAGATCATTGGAGGGAATTCTTTCAATCTTACCGTATGATCCTTTTATTCATTTCAGGGCACTGGCTGACATTTTCAGATGGAACCTGGCGTGTTTGATCCACCCACTCGCTCTACATGCACATCTTGCACCTACAGTGAAGATTTCAGCAACTATTGGACTGCATCGCTATACTTCCGGTCACCTGAGAATGGTACTTTTCAGCGAGTGCCTCAATTCGCTAATGTCGGACTCCAGCAAGATGGCGGAATGACGGTCTATTACATGCCGTATTCGGCGAAGAATAACAAGATGACAGCCTTTAGGCCTGGGTTTCGCATGATCGCCGGCGACCCTATGGCCAAAAGGCCCAACCGTGTTAGCATCTGTCATCGATGTTTGGGCAATGGGGAAGGTTTTGCTCCATGTGACGGGAAAGACACTGCAGAGCTCCCGAAAAAATACTGCCCGGGTGGTATTCGGGCGACAGTCATATTTCCGTCGTGCTGGGATGGTAAGAACCTGGACTCGCCCGATCACAAGAGTCATGTTGCGTACTCGAATAGTGGTGGTCTCGGATCACCAAATTGCCCTAGTACGCACCCAGTTGCTATTCCGCAAGTCATGTATGAGATCATGTGGGATACTGGACGATACAAAAACAACGCATGGTATGGTAATGGTAAACAGCCGTTTGTATATAGCTTTGGAGATGGGTAAGTCTTATCCAGTATCATCTTCAAACATTCACTAACCATGTGCAGTACCGGTTATGGCCAGCACGGCGACTATCTCTTTGGCTGGAAAGACGACTCTTTACAGAGGGCTATGGATGCTCTACCGAGTGGCAAGTGTGCTAACGCCAACTGCCAAGTTTTGAAAATACAGTCTGCGCAAGATTCGATGAAGTGCAAGAAATCGCAACAAGTGATTGAGGATGTCGGTGTGGGCGGAAATTGGCTTAAGGAGCTCCCGGGTGGTATGCCGGTTACCTATTAAAAAACGAATGTGGGCAAAATAAAGTGTTTTTAGAGTGTCGTTATTTCTATTACTTCCAGTATGCATGAATTTTATCCAGATGGCATCTGGTAGTGTGTAGCCAAATTTGTGTTGGTTCGAATATTGATTTCGCATCTGCCGAAACATGATAGAAGCGTAATTGGTCCGGAGATAATTATTGTAGAAAACACGGCTGGATGGCAGAGCAAGAAGCAGGCCGGCAGCTTCGTACGAACCCAAATGACTGTCTATGCGACATCCTCGGCATTTGTGATAGCAATATCGTTGGTAGCGCATCTGCCGCTCTCGGCAGTTTCGACATGGCTTGCCTTGCCGAGAATGACGTGCATCACCCAGAGTTTGATATTTATGTGTACTCTCAGCTTCTGTAAGGGAAGTCGACGAGTCTGGTAATGATAGCCCAAGTGCGCTGAAAGTGGTTCAGGGTAGGCTTAAAGAGGAATTCGTCTTACAAGGATCACATTGCATACTCACTGCCTACCCTGTATACACTCACCGTGGAGCATATAAGTACACACGCTGAATGGCGCATATCATTAGCCTTGATTCCAATCCAACACGTGTATGTGTTTAGGATCTGACGGGCCATGACTGCACCTAGAGATGGTGTCGTTGTCGCAACGTTCATGACAGCATACCATGCAATAAATGTTATGAGCTTTGGATATCCAGGTCTTCGATGCAAAAGGGGCACTGGTAGGACGTGCGATGAATCTTTTGAACCGCCAACGGAAACGTTGCCAAATTCTGATTTCCGACTTTTGATAGTGTTATGTGTACGGGGTTGAATGTTTGCCATGAGAAATCCAAGACACTTATACTGCCAAGCTACTTATTACCCCTCACTCACCCCATCTGTCCTCAACGGCTTCTTTTTCGACCCACAACGACTCCGAGGTCCCGAGCCGTCACCCGCTGCAGCCGTGGATCCGATGATTTGAGGAAAATAGCTGTGCCGCATCAGTGCCGGCTTACTCAAAATAGAACAGCGCTCACAACAGGATGGTTGTACTTAGTATGTACACGCGGTACTTCGTGCTCGGCAGGCAACGTTCGTCTTAATGCACGACGACTTGTGCCACATACCGGGAATCTGAAAGTTGTACCAAAGACCAAATTTCGACCTGCAATTGTTCTCTCGATCGGTAAACATTACGTCTGACTGTCCACCAGTACAACGAAGAAACATGGCGTCTTCAAAAACGGGCACGTTTGCCAACCCGGTCCTTCCGGGCTTCAACCCGGATCCATCAGTCATTCGGGCCGGCAATGACTTCTTTTGTGTTACATCGTCGTTTGAGTATTTCCCTGGGGTGCCAATTTATCACAGCAAAGACCTGATTAAATGGGTCTTAATCGGACATGCTCTCACCCGAAAGTCGCAGCTTGATATCAAGACCCCCGAACCTGGAGGTGGCGTGTGGGCAACGACTATTCGGTACCATAACGGCAATTTTTACATAATTACCAACTCTTTTGACCGGTACCGCCCGCAAACCGATGATCGCGTATGGCCTCGGGGCTTTTACGTGAAAACTAGCAACATCTGGAATGATAGTAGCTGGTCAGATCCAGTATACTTTGATCAAGTCGGGTTCGACTTTGACCTTTTCTGGGATGATGATGGAGTGGTATACTTGTCATCCTGTTATCGTAAGATTGATCGCTCTCCGGATCCTAGGATACGAGATTTTGCTGTTCACATATCTACGGTTGATCTCAAGTCTGGAACTTTGACATCCAGACCACGGATGATTCGCGATTCTGTATCCGGTTTTGCCGAAGGCTCCCATATCTTCAAGCGCAACGGCTATTACTACTTGTTTACTGCTGAAGGAGGTACTGAGTCTGGGCACTGCGAATATGTGACCCGGAGCCGAGAAGGTCCTTTCGGGCCATGGGAAGCAGCACCGCACAACCCACTATGGCGTAATACAACGTATGATGATATCCAAAACACTGGGCACTGCGACGTTGTTGAGGATTCCCAGGGTCAGTGGTGGGCCATGTGTCTAGGTGTACGACCCAGGAGGGAAGGTAGCTCATGGCGGGCTTCGGTCTTCGGGCGCGAATCAATGCTGCTTCCGGTTCGCTGGGAGAATGACTGGCCGATATTCAATGAAGGCAAGGCGGTTGCATTGCGAATGGAGGCGCCGAATGGCTACATCTTGGAGGATGACAAGAGGTGGAGAGATGACTTTACGGGAATCAAATTAGGGCTGGGGTGGTATAGAAAAAGTAAGGAGACTTATTCATCACTATTTTTGACTAGAGTACGGCCACTAAAAACGCACAGATACCCCGGTAAGACAGGACTTTTCAATGACAGCCCGTTCCAATGAGCTCACGCTATATGGGGGTCCGTACACCCTATCAATGCCTGCTTGTCCGACACTTTTCCTACGGAAGCAAAAGCATTGGCCTGTTGTTTGGGAAACCCAACTAGATTTTCAGCCTGAGGCACTACGCGTCGAAGCGGGAACTGTCGTCTGGTGGAACCACACCTGCTACGCGAGTATAGGAATTACACTTGTCGAGCGCGATGGACAGCTACAACGAGCCATCCGACTGACTGATCCAGACAAGGAAGTTAAGGAGGCAATCATATCAGAGCAAGGTGCAGTAAAATTGATCATTGAAAGCACTGAGACTAGCTATCAACTGGGATATCGAGATATCAGTCATGACGCACACGAAGCGAATGAGAGCTGGACCTGGCTGGGTAACATTGACACCCAGGTCATGACGCGCGCCCCTGAGGTTGGTCAGCCTTTTACAGGCATGATGATGGGGCTGTACTCTTTTGGTGAGATGCAACCTGTTCTGAGTCCAGCGCATTTCGCGTATGCAGAGTTTCGATAGCTGCATCACTGTGGTATAGGCCAGCATCGATTTCAGGGAGCATGGTAAATGCGATACCGAGGCACGCAGGGAAAATCATTGGGGTTGATGATACTTATACCAAACATACTATGCTTGTGCTGTTTTTCAAAAAGACAGCAGCTAAAACTCACTTGGTCTTTCGTGTTACCTCGAACGTGCCCAAGTCGAATCCTTCGAGCATATAAAACTTGCAATTTGACTCGAGACAATACTAACCACTATAGCTCCGGTAGACGCGTCATGGTTGAAGGGTTCGCACAAGGATAGGGTAGCAGTTCTTGGGAAGACGATTCCCTGTAGAAACCGGGTCCGTACCTTGTTCCCAAGCAACATATGCATGAACCCTTGCCCATATAGAAAAACGGAAAACACGCAACTATTCCGAGCATTCAACTTGGTGGCGATATGCAACAACAAGATTCTGCATAACTCAGTTTTTTTCGGTCACAAGTTGTGGCCCACCACACTGTGGATATTGACAAGAGGCCGACAAGTTTGATCGTCAATGCACCATCTATCCTCTTTGAGAAAAAATTATAAGCAGTCTCGATCCTTCGTGTATCATCTGTTTCTTTGAAGTAAAGAGAAAACGCTCTCTAGACCAAAGTTTCATATACGAAGATTGATCTGTAGGTGTTGTCGATACTGAAGGCGTGGAAAAGATCTTGATCATATACCAGATATGTATGACCTTAGTCCAACCATGTGGCTGTATCGCTTCTAACTGAAAAGAAGAATAAGCATCAAGACGTTAGTTGACATCTCACAAATAAGGTTCACATCCGCTCCACAAGCTTAATGTCAACCACGGGAATACCGGCTGTAGCATCGCACCTCGGAACAACGAGGTGTTAGTGGTCGATCATAATAGAGATCGGGAATAGGTATGAGACCCACTCACAATACCTCAGAAACACACGAGGACAGGCGATTTCTCTAACAAGACTGGCCCTGTACCACCTGGATCATGAGGCGGACCCATCGGCCCGATAGCAATAGATAAGGCGGGCTTGGGCATCGTCCAGAAGTGAGGGATTTCGCATGGGGAAAAGGGGGGAACAGGATGCCGCGGCACCGCGCCGCGCGGTCATCATCGGGCCTTTGGTGGGCGTGTGGCATGATGCCAATGTTTGTGGCTATTGCAACGGATCGAGAGAGTTGCAATCTCGCCAACTGTCAATACTATGCAATAAATGGCCACAAGTCGGGACGCAAGCCAATATTGGTGTCGGGTGCAGGCTGGCGATTAGCTACAACATGATTCAACAGGATGAGTTTAAAGTTTTCAAAGAAGCTGCCAAGGTCGACAGTTTAGGGGCACGACTGGCGAATGCTTGCCCATGACAGTGGTATATGCTTAGGCGAGGGTGGTCCGCCGGGGACCGACAGATATCGGGCCTTTTTTCACTGATGGCGCAAGCGTTCCGCGCCAATGAGGCGGGCCGGAGCTAGATCAAGATGGGCTCTAGAACTACTTAGTGCCCTACACACAAAGTAAGCAATCAGGCACGCACAGACAACGCATGTTGCCTACTTACATGCTTACTTATAGATGGGAGGTTCAGATTACCGAATCGTGCAAGGGCCATTACAGGGAAGTATTTTCTGACGTATAGCAATGGAGAGAATGAGCCGAGCATCGGAAAGTTGTGGAAAACAAGTGAAGCGATAGGAATGTGGAGGGACAGGACTGTGGAGCAAAGAGAATTCGAATTAAGTTGTTATGCCCTGGCTATAGGTCTACTACTGCACAGGGGTTTCAGTGTCGTACGACGAGGTCTTTCTGGCTCTCGCTATCGCTGACCCTCGAGCTGTCGTCATAGTGCTGCTCAAAGTGTCGAGAAACGTAAATGTTTTTGCCCAAGATGTCGTCGTCGCTGGACTTGTCTGGGCGAACCACGTGGGAAGACGAACCCAACTCAATATCATCAGCGCCTGCGCGCCTGGCTGTGCTTCTGATGCCATGAGTCATGCTTTTGGATTTACCTAGTCCATCTGTTCCCAGCCCGTAGCTGTTGCTGCCACCGCGAGATGAGAAGCCGGGTAGGATCTTGACCATGAGTGGTTTGAGTGCTGGTAGCGATGCACAAACAATGGCCAGATTCATTTCGATTGAGGACCAGTACGCCACTGGTGCACTGTAATAGGTAGTGTCTCGTAGGTTTGCGACAAGAATAGCGAGAGCGTGGAGGCGAAGTATGGATACCACGCACACGAACCATCCAATTGTCAAAATGATGATGAGGGCTATTTTCGGGCGTTTGGCAATTTGCAGGTTCCAGATGACCTTTACAGGAAGGAAGGCCACAAGAAGATCGGTGAGGATGTTTATGGCGGCATTGATGAACCAGATACTGTTTGGCCATTGTCAGCGAATGACACAGACAATGGGGCACTTTATAGCTTACATTGGGCCTTCCACGCACGAAGATTGTTTGGGTTCACCCTCTTTGGCGGGAATGGGTTCACATGTATATACCGCTATGATAACCGTAGTAACTCCCCATGCGATACACATTGCCATGACAATGTGAAGTGGTATGCGCATCTTGCGTACGGTAAAGATTCGGCTGTATTGAAACAAGATAGACATCTTTGTAAAGGTAAGGCTGATATTATAAAAGATGATGCTCCAAAACAGGTACTGTTGGTCGTTAGCAAACAGATGTGCGTGAAAACTGTGCTCCGGTCGTACCTTGAGGATCGGCCGGAACCCCTCAGGAAACTCGATGAAGATTGCATGCTTGCCATTGCCTGCGTCGGCCTCTACGACGAGTTAGTGAAGCTATTTTCTGTACATTTTGCATGGTGGCTTACGAAGAACCTGGAAAACGCTCGCAACAGTGGCTGTCGCCTAAGTAATGTGAGTGGGGTATTCAAATGTGCGAGCGTTGATGAGGCTCACCAAGGACACCACTATTGTATAATCCTAAAAAAAAAAAAAAGTGTCAAAATAAATCCATAGCAGGAAATGTTGAGGTAGATAATTACCTCCCAACCGAGCTGCAGTCCGATGTATCGCATACGAGCGAACAGTCGTAGGCTTACAGCCATATAGGAAAGTACCGTGAAAGCAATGACAATGGATTTTGTGAGAGGACCTTTGTCCTCCCGGGCCAGGGCAGCCAACTGGTCAGCGGTCAGTTGGTCCATGGTGATTTGCGAAGAATGGATCAGCGACACGGATATGGCCAAGTTATCAATACAAAAGGTCGAAAAGACGAGACCCTGAGGGGCAGCTCTTCAAATGGGATCAGGAGTAGTTTCTCTTGGACTGTGTGGCGTTACAGATATGAGGAATGGGATGGAAGTACCTGGTGCACAGGCTTCGGAGGCCAACACGCCCACAACCCGAGATGCCGCCAGTGGTACGCGAAACCCTAGCCCTGACAATTGCGAGGAGGCGATCTGATGGAGGGATGCCTGGTGGCTGAGCTAGAATTAGGGCATGTTGCGATTCCTAGAAGACCAATCATAGCGCATGCCACACGGAGAGCACTGGCAAGCGTGCACCAGTTGCAAATGCGGCCAGCATGATGAGCTTGGATGCAATGCAGGGCACTTGGGTAGTATCCCGGCAGCCCGATGCTGATCCGACAAGTATGGTATGGATGCAGATGTATCGGCTGCCTCGGTCCATTCACAGTGACGTGAGGCACAATTGATAAGAGCTTTTCCGGTTTGGATGCAATAAAGTTTTGTCCAACAGTTCCCCGCGACCAGCTCACTATCGACTAGCAGCCGGATCTGCGGCTTAGGCCCAATCGTCCTTGCTTCCGCTCGTGATGCAAAGCGCTTTGTCCGTCGGGTCGCGGGATAAATAAGGCCTTTTCCGCACGAGTAAGTGAACAATTGAATTGGCGTCGTAGAAGAGTCCCATGTTGGTCTGGCGCAGAAGAGTCGATTTCACAGCAACGGCCAGCAGTTTGCGTATTTACTGTGTAGTGGGCTCTCGTCTCGTCGGGCATCTCGTATTCGTCGCGTCATCCGCCCCTGGCTCAAGGGACTGGGGCTCTTCTGCAGCTACCAGCGTGAATCTCTGCATGTCGGTATGCGCCTTTGTTGATGCGGCTGCAAGAGAGCTGGCTAAGGATATGTAAGCAGTATGGAGCGCCGAGCGACGCGTCCACGTGCATTACGCAACATCCCAGTCCCAGTAACTCGGACAAACGCTGCTGATCCCACTGGAATGGGGAAGGATATTTGGCACTCCTGCAAGACACCAACCCGTCCCTCCAATACTCCAACTACTTACTTACGGCCGAAAGCCCAACACACCTTCTCCACATGCGTCTATGTGTCGCTAGGTCACAGAGTACCACACACAACTGACATCTTGGTTGCTTGTACATAGCTCCTGCATTAGGGCAAGCCGATGCCAGACGTTGCTCACCACCAGCTTCGGCTAGGACAGAGTTTGCACTACACCCAAGCCGTATCCCTACAGCCAGCACGGCATTACCGACCCGACTGCTAGAAGAGTCGTTGAACCCAGCCGTGGGGCCTGTAAACTCGTCAGCTCATGGCAAAATGGCCTGTGTAGAAGAGAATTTGTTTTTCCCCCATACACCTTCTAAACTAAAGACAGTCGAACACCAGCTCACAGAATACACAGTGCGCTTAGAACACTCTTTGGAGATGATGAAAACAGCCTCGCAGGCGATCTAGAAGGCTCAGCAATGTTCGATAAGTCTTGACCGATCAGAATGACATGTACGAAGGAGACTACAACTGCGGACCTATCAGTGCGCCAGGAGTGTGTTGTTAAGTCCGAGAAGGTTTTGCCCCATCAAGCCAGCTAGCATGCCATGCGAAGCTACCGCAAGGCGTTCTGCGTATCACACTACCTTTAGCCATAGAAACAACGGCACCTGCAGCAATAACGGTGGATTGAGCTTTTCCTCTAAACGAGGCGAGGGCATTCGTCTGATAGACCTCGGGAAAGGGCAGTGTCGTTGGCATTTCCCTGGTTTTCTCAAAGTCGTGCTGAGCATTTGCAAAGAGGCACCACCATCCAGCCATTGCCTCGACCCAAGCCACCTTGAGCTGAGATGCGAAGAGGATCGCGAATCCTTACACCTTCAGCAAACAAAACTCTAATTATCACAAGACACACCTACCATGAGTGCTGTACCAGTGAGTGGATGGCCAGGCCACCCAGTCAAGAGTATACGAATGTAGAAAGACCCACGGGCAACTATAATGGCCCAGACGCCTGCCATCGCAATTTACTTTTTCCGTGTCTCCTTCAACTAAGCCTTTTGCCCTTGCTTACGCACCTACCCTCCGCACCAGTGTCTAACTACGGGTTACGGCTCCGCGCAAATGACGTGCAAGAACCACTCAGCATCAGGCGCCTTCCAACTAATTCTAGCACGTCTTTCTGGGTTTCTAGGCCTTGAATTCGCGTATCGGCACCCTCACTATCCATTGCAGCCCGAAAATTTGCTTCCATAAGTATTAGCAGCAGTGCTGTCGGGAATATTGGCTCGTGTCTCAGATATACCATCCCGCCCTTTCTCGTCCGCCTCGCGAAACCCTCTAGTTTAACTGGATGACTGTAATGTTTTCTGTGATCTCCAGGTGCAGGGAAAGGATATCGACAGGTACAACGGTACTGTTGTCGAAATTAGAGTTTTGCTCTTGGGGTCAGACTAGAATGTTTGGGACAATGGGTACATGAGTATGTCACTGTACACCCTTCAGAACACCCTTCCAAGACTTTTGGTCCCTCTGGGTGTACAATACATACTTTCGCTTATCAATCACCGAGTCGACATCAAGTGAATCCTGCTCGTAGTGATGGTATCCAGCTCCATCATGGATGGCACACAACATCAGCAACACCTCCTATCGACTCCGGATTGAGCAGAGTAGACACGTAGCTATCATAACTTGTTTCACTACCTGCTCCCCTTTCCCCTCATTATTCTCCCTCTTCAGGCATACCATCTTTCACTTGAAATATGGCGATGATAGCATCCATTGATGGAGCGGTGGTTCTTGTCCCTCACTCCACTCACAAAGGTTTCTTTGACCTGTTACGGGCCGGCTCTTATATTTGGGCTATTGATCCATCGCGTGTAGAGATTGCTGAGGCTTTTAGCACTGCACATGAGAAACTTTCTCGCCGTGACAGAGCACTCGGCATGGACGACGAGAAATCTCTCACTGAGCCTATACATTGGCCTCTCTTATAACAGGTGCTGAAACCTCTATATCTATCCTCTTTTGCTTCGCATTCCAAGAGACACTACACGGTAATCACTCGGGAAATGCTCAAGAGACTTTCTTCTTGGGTTACCTAAACTTACCTGCTGGTCTAGACCTTGACATTGCCAAGTAGTGGTCATGGCGCAGTGTTGTGAGCTCCATTGTTGGCAAAAACACTGAACAATAACGTGAGACGAGTTCAAAGTTTGAACTGGAGATGGATCACGGAATCCACGGGGGTCAATGTTGTATTTTCTGAACTCTTAATTCTCGTGAAATACCCTTCATTTCTCTCTTATCCGTCCAAGCCAACAGGATTAACATAAAGTTGATTACGATAGAAAAACGTGTGTATACACTATAACAACAAATTCTTCAAGGAAGAGCCACTCATACCCACCTCATTATCCTGTGGAGCGAGGCAAGAATCCTTTTCGCTCAGTACCAAACGACGATAACCAACCATTGCCAGTATGAGGCTTCAATACTGGGACCTGCACACTTCAAATGAAACTACACGTGCTATTTACATACAGAATTTCATGCACAGCCCCAAATATCAAGCTCTGGCACCGCTTCTGATACTCACCAATGCGTCCTGTATCTTGCAACCACTCCCTGTACCTATAGACTGCCAATGATTTCGGCCTGCTCTAACGTATGCCCTGTTTCATGCATTCTTCTATGATATTCAGCAAAGCGCGTTCAGGTTTAAAGTTTTCTTTCGAAGTTTCTCGCCTCTATCCTGTCCACTCTCCTTATCTGAAGCCGCGGCATCATCAGCGCCACCCATCTATTCTTTCTCGATGTTCGACTGCTACATGTAGTTTTCTCATCCTTGTTTCAGCTCAAATACTTATTGATGCTACGTTATTCGAGTTCAAGGCGAGCTGGCGTTGCTACCATTGGTGCTACAACGTCTTGTCAATGCTACATATGTCAAATGTCAATGGGATAGGTGTGCACGGCCGTCGAAAGCAACAATATCCTTGTAGTCCGTACTCACGCTCCTTATCTATCTACTGAACTCAACGAATTATGTATATGGGCGCAGATTAACCAATGAAATCATGCAAGTGTCAGATCCGCGGACCTCTTGAAAACTACATTTTGACACCTGGATCAAAGAGAGGGATAAGCGGCAGCATGAAGGAGGGTAAGGCTGATTGACGGAAACGGTCGGCAAACCTAAAACAGCCGACAGAGAGGATCCACTTCGTAGCCGCCTAGCATCGTATTTTTTAGACTTTCATCCAATCAAATTTAATTCTTATACTCTGCAGCTCTCCAAAGTTACTGTCGTAGCGTGGAGCGGTCAAAAGACCATGGGAAAAAAGTGGGTAGGTAAGCGAATTAGGTGTACACGCTTGGTACCCGTAATCGGATTGCCCCATGCAATCAAACAAGGCGTACCAGCAGCCAGCCAATCTCCCAGCCCTACTCACATCATCGTGCCTCGTCTCACCCCCAATCCGTCTGCCACGTGCCTGTGACATGCTCTTGCCCAGCCTCGCCTTACCGTAACTACTTCGGCGTACGTAGTCCCTTGGTCGGATGCAGACCAGTCAGCAGGCAGGAGCAAGCATTCCCTTCAGAGCGCATGTAATAGCCCGGCTGTCTGTGCCTCGAACTCGGGTCTGCTATTCGTCTGCCTTGAGAGGGCCATTACACCATTTTTGGCCTCTATGCAGCGTCGTTTCAAACGGGCGTCGGGCCTGAGGCAGACAGCCCCATGGCCTGATACATACTTCACTTGTCGTTCTGCAAATGGCCGCGACAGTGACATGGAACGCGCTAGAAAGCATGACACCGTTGGAAGCGTGCGGGTTAGGTTTGAAATGCACAGAGGGTGGGCGCATGGGACAAGCATCATTGGACAAGGAAGTGTAGTCCGGGTGTGGCGGCTCAGAGAGCAACGTCAGTCCATCAGGTTGAAGTAACAACGAGAGCGTTTTGTTCAAGAGGCAGCCAAGAAGAAAACCCATGGTATCCCCTGTCTCCCGCACCTTGCGCGTGCGCGAAGCAGAAGAAGAGGAGCATGTGAAAGTTGAGCAGCAAATTGAGCGCGAAGGACAAAGAGGAACGTTGTACAGGGGCTGGCTGGTAGACAAGCAGACACGTAGGTCAGTAGATAGTAGTAGGTAATTCGGCAGTTTTTTTTTCTGGTTTTCTTCTTACTTGTCTCGGACGCACATTGACATCACAATTTCCGAATACGTATGTCGAGCGGCATTGCAGGAAGAAAATGCTACAATTGGACGGCGGGCGCGTAGAGATGCAGCAACCATGATCTCGTGATGCTACACTTTTTTATCTTGCTTTTGCATGTATTCGCGCGGTTGGCTATCGTGACAAAAAGTCCGGACAGTGCCCGGTGCGTGGTGCTTGGTGCTGGCTGGCGCGCACGCACGCAACACGCGGGGGGCTGAGCGTGGGAGCTTGCTTCACTATCCCATGTGCGGCCACCACTGTGAGATTGCGGTGCCTTGCTGAGAGGGCAACGGGTCTGCGCGGGGCCACCGCAGGCAAGAAAAATTCAGGCCAATTTCATGTATAAAAGCCGTCGACGACGCTGGACGGGGGGTTGTGCGCCGAGAGTTTGGTGGTACTGATTCGAAACAGAAAGCACCTTTCATCGTTCTGCTCGTTTGATGCCCACTGCTTCCCTAAAATCAAGATCAACACCACCGTCTGGATCACTCTGACCCTCTCCCCTTCCCCTTTCTCTCTCTCCCTCTCTCCCTCTCTCCGTCGATCCATTTCGCTCATCCAGGACTCGAATATCTCCCATTCTTCCCCTCGACTTCCCGCCCTCTTCCAATCCCGCCTCCACAATCCGACCAAACACTACGCAAATATGAAAGACTGTCCCGAATGCAGAGGCAATGGCACCGTCAAGTGCGACGCCTGCAACGGCAAAGGCGGCCCATGCTGCAAACGAACCGGCCAAAAACAATGCACCATCTGCGAAGGCACAGGCGCCATTCACTCGGAGCACTGAGTATGCACTGTACCGCCCAAAGCAAAAGCTACCGCCACCGCTGCCGCTTCCACAAGCTCGGCATATCTTTTACCCAACCACCCAAAAAAAACGAAAAAAAAACCAGGTACGTACGGCACAGTTTCGTATTACTCCAAGCCACAGCCAGCAAGCCGCGAAAAAAAAACGGTCACCCAATTCCTATCCGCTCTATACGAAGCCACCTCCCCATACGTCTCCGATCATCTCGGCGCTACACGCGGCCATCTCCGAGACCATTCAAACTGACGTTGCATAGCGCCAGGTCATCATCATGACCAACCGCCCCTCTTGGAATTTCCGCTGTCCTTCATTTCACTAGCTATTTCGCAACAACCCACATCCCCCATCCCTTGATCGTTCGCGCGGGCGTGGCCCCGCCCAAAAATCCGTTCGAGCAAAATCATCAATTATGTAAAGAGACGGGGGAGAAAAGCGTGCAAAGGAGGAAGAGAAAGAGAAGAAAAAAGATTGTGAGGAATGCTAGCGACAGGATTCGCAAGCACGCTGAAGCAAAGCAAAACAAAAAAACAGAAGAAAGAGAGAAGGAGAAAAGCACAGCAACGTGCAATGAGAATTAACCATATACCCCAGGGCGAAAGCAACCAATGCGCACCGATCCGGCGTTTTTCCCAATTACTATTTTCCTTTGTTAGTAGTACGTACAGGGCATTTTTTTTGTTTTATTTGTTTTTCTCGTGCGCGTGTTTATCTGTGCCTTTTTCCCTTTTCACAAATGTACTACTTATGGCAACTTGTTGCGTTGTTCCTTTGCAATTGGTTGGTTTGGCCAGACACAGGTTTAGATTGAAAAAAAAAATACGCGCGAGGTATGGCGAGACACAGTACGTAGCCATTGTGTCACGCTGGGATTTGTGAAATCGCGAGGACTGGGGGGCCCCGGGGGGGGGTTGAGAGCAGGTTAAAAAAAAACGATATGCCGCGGGGGTGTGGGTTGGAAGGAAGAGGCGCCGCATGGTTTGTATTGGTTGCCAGTTTGCGGCAACGGGGGTGTTTGGGTGGGTGGGGGAATTTTACTAGCGGCCATGGTTTGCTGAATTCATCTCCTGATTTCATTTCCCACCCTTTCCCCTCAACGGGCAGATGGAAGTTTGCTGGGCGCTATGGTTCGCGATCCGTCTTGAGCCGCACAATTGATACACATACTAGACAATAGACCAGGGAGGAGGGGTTTATCCTTTCTTCACCAAGATACCATATAGAAATACATTTCCTTTTTTCTTTTCTCAAAAGAACATCGACAATCAATGAATGGCAACCACTACTAGTCCCCACAGCATATCAAGACCTTCCTACTACGTTCATACGAACCGTCAATTAGTCACTATGAAACCATTAACGGGCTCGGCTCCGCACGCCATGCAAGGCTATCCTGAAACACGCTCGATACGCAGGACAAATGTAAGAGTTACAAAGGATTCAGCCACACCCTGACAATTCCCCGCCACAACATCCCCACTACTACCCTTTTTTTTTTACCCTTGCCCACAAAACTGTAAACCCCCCCCCCTCCCCCCCGGCGAGTGCCCACTAATCAAAACAAAGTTATAGTGGATACAAAACCACGCCAGCGGATACGTATTTTTTCCTGTTCCTATGAAATTTGACGAACCGGTGGGCGGGCCTCGCTGGGGCCGCAGACTGTTCCTTTTGCAAATCATCAGCTGCCGTGCGGCTCCGTGACCGACATGAGCAACATTCGACGGTTTCCCCCCACCCCCTTGAGAATAAAGCATGACTCGATGAGACAAAACACGTGAATGGCATGCTTCACTAATTCACTGGGCAACTTGGGTACATGACAATTGGTCAGACCCAATGGCTCGACTTTCAACGGCAAATATCATTATCTTTTGGGTCAACTACACAACGCTTCTACTCCCGTTTCACTATTTCCCCTTCTACAGCTTAGCCTTAACCTCTGCTCGCTCCAGCATCGGACCATCCCAGATATCGCGCTCAACAGCTCTCGTATTAATATGCTGCATACTGAGTTGTTCGATCTTCTCCACTCCAAGAAGGCGCATACATGTTTCTGTTTCCGCCTTGAGAACTGTAATTTGATGTTAGCGAATTGGCTACATGGCAACACACGATTTAAGAGAAGAAAAAGAAAAACCTACTTTCAAGGACCCTTTCTACACCTTCTTTGCCTCCTGCTCCGAGGCCAAACAGCGCAGCCCGACCAAGACCCACGCCCTTAGCGCCTAGGCAAAGTGCTTTGACGACATCTGTTCCGCGCTTGATGCCTCCGTCGACCCAGACTTCGATACGGTCAAAGACTTCTGGACAGTACTTTCGAATCTCTAACAAGGTGTGTACGGCAGGTGGCGCCGTGTCCAGCGCTCTACCACCGTGGTTGGAAAGAATGATAGCCTTGACATGTGGCGCGTGGAGAGAAGCAAGGTAGGCATCTTCGTGTGTTTGGATGCCCTTTAGTACAATGGGCTTGTCCGTGTGCTTCTTGAGCCAGGGTAGTGTAGAACGCCATGTCAAGTCCGCCGCTGTGCCCCAGAACAAACTCTGTCCAACTCCCATGCTCTTTGGTTTGGGTTTTTCGTTCTCGCTTGCTTGTGTTGGTGTCTTTGCATCAGTCGATGTCTTGCTTACACTCTGAGATTCCTGCACGGCTGCACGGAGAGGCAAGTTGGAGCTAACGTTTTTGCTGCGCTCGTCATGTTCGCGTTTACCTGGCACAGGCGCGTCGAGTGTGAGACAGATGTATTTGATGCAATCAAGCTTGTTCATACGGGTAAGCATAGCCTCGCTCTTTTGCCGCTCGTTTTGAACATATAACTGCCATCCAAACACCTGGCCTGGCTTCGCATCTGCAACAATTTGCTCAGGTGTCATGGATGCGTTTTGCGATATCAGGTGCATGGCACCGTACTTTTCGCACGCCTGCGCTATACCCCACTCACCATCTGGATGTGCGAGTCGAGCCATTGCAGCGGGAGAAACATATATAGGAATTTTGACATTATGGCCAAGAAAGGTCGTCGAGGTATCGCAGCGTGTGCAGTCGACAAACACCCGTGGCCGTAGTAGTATACTCCTGTACACCTTGTTGTTGAATGACTTGCTCTGCAGGTCATCGCTTGCAGAGAAGTAATATGCCCATGCTTTGTGCGGAATCTTCTTCGTCGCCACCTCTTCAATCTCGTCGATATTCAAAAGACTCTCCAGGTCTACAGGTCCGTCTTGTTGCGCCTCGCCAGTCTCCAGTGGTGTCTTTTCTTCTTTCGGTAGTGTGTCTGGGTTGATTGTGCCGAGCTTGTCCGAAGCCTGGAGGTTTTCTTCGAGGATGCCTGGAGGGTGGATAGGATCGTATTCTTCCGTCGCGTCCTTGCCTGCGAGCTGGAGGATGACTTTGGATCCGCCAGGGTGCTCAGGTAGGAAGCGCGTTACGTCGTAGACATTGCCGTATAAGACGACCCAGCAGCTCTCTGCCGTATTGTGCTTTGCAACTAATCTTATGGGTCAGCTACGAGGAATTGACGTCCCGATTGTACTTGCAACGGACCTTCGGCGTAATCAAAGACCTTCGCCATTGTACGAATACTCTCAATCAAGTCTATGTGGAAAACCGTCGCTATGGCTGGAAAAAGCAATGAATGCGCAACACATGTATACAAATAACTGGAAAGAATAAGAGAGGAAATGGCACAGAGGAAAGTTGAAGGCGGAGCAAATGCCGACGGCCTCCAACTCACCCGCAGTTATGGAGAAAGAAGCTCGGGGTAGTGCCACGCCGAGTCAGGCAAGACGGGCCGCATTGCTTTGTTCGCGCAGGTAAGCCGCATATCCGGCAGCTTGATTGGCGGATCAACTACCCTCCCCAAACGCCGCGGCATCTACACACGAACTATATATCTGAGTCGTTCTTTGGCTTAAGCTCATGATTTACTGTGTAGGCAAACATTACAAAATGATACATCTTTAGATTTGCTCAAGCTCATGGCCGCTTACACGCCTTCCGGGTATCCTTCTCGAGTTCATGGCCAGCGGCCCTTGAGTACACCCTCTGCTCTTCTTCAGGCTTGGAAACACGTCTATTCCTTCTCGTCCTGCACTTGCGTCTACCCTCGTTTTCGTTCCTTATCTCAGGCTCATACAGAGGGGAAAACTGCCCTTGTCTCCTTCTGTATTTCTTTGCTTCGTTGTCTTCAGTGTTCTCGGGTTCCTCACTATCGCCGTCTTCTTCTGTTGACGCCTTGATAAGCTCCTCGAGTTCCGCGTGGATATCTCGTGAACATATTCGTTTTAATCCACTTGGCCCAGGCCAGAATTTTTTCTTTGACGAGGAAATGGAACGCGTAGCATTCGACTTTGGCATCTTGTCATCGCGAACGGCTTCTCGGCGACCGTGCAGTTGATACTCAGGGCGCACGAAAGACCGCTCTCGATCAGCATCATGTATGCGGAAAATCAATGCGGTGCCCTGATTAGGTATCAGACGATTAGGGTAAGTATACAAGCTGTAAGATGACGAGGCATGAATGCGGCGTGCAAGATGCTCACCAACCCTCAACCTGAAGATCCTGCCAGCCTTGCTCCATCTCGCCTTCATTGACGCCCTCGTCGCCCCAATCCATCTTTTCGAGCTCATTGCGGAAGAAGTCTTGCTCTTCTTCAAGGACGCCAGGCTTGGCACCCAGACTCTCTGGATAACGCTTCAGATTATGCCAGTGCGTCAATGATCGTAAGGCTTGCTCGAGAGGGACACTCTCGTCGACTTCCGCATCCACGTCGCTTCCCGCTAACCAATCATCTCGAAGCTCTGGTCTACAGTGCAGATACACAGCTGTAATGACACGCATGTTGGATTGCCGCCACTTGCGGCCACAGTACGGGACTTGGTTTTTGAAGAGTTTGAGGGTATAAAGGCGCAACTCTGGCTGCGGTACTTTGAGGCTCTTGCGGAGAAACTGAGATGACTTGTATGACACAAGCATAAGGTTGCGATGCGCTTTATTTTTGCATATCTTCTGCATGATGCGCAGGTAGTTGATTGAGGTGAAGAATGCGCGCCAGGAGAAGTTGGTGATTGGCTCTTTTGGCAATTCGTTGGTCGGGAAGCCGAGCTCATCCACCTCCGGGGGCTGCAATTGTGTGGGTTGCATTGCTGGCTCGATGCCCGATTCGTTGGAATCTAGTCTCGAACGGCGAATCGGAGGCGGAGCTGCATCATCTTCATCAGAGTCTCTTTCCTGCAAATCTCCTTCATGGTGTACGTTGACCTCCTCTTCAGACGCGTTTCTCGAGTGTGACCGACAGTAATTGAAGAAATTAAGCTCTTCTTGCTCACTCTTGAAATTGACAATCCTCTCAACTTCTTGTAGTTGCAATAGCTTTAAAATCAGAGGAACATAGCTTGAATCAACGAGTAGCTGAGTGATGTACTCGAATTTCAAGATATGAGAGACCTTGAACCATTTCAAGATGAGAATGAGGGTGCCGGTAACTGCTTTGTCCAGCACTTCCTGGGTTCGCATAGCGTCCAGCTCCTCGTTTGTAGCCAGAGTGCCATTGTGGCCATTCATGCCATTCATGTCAGGTCGCCCAGCCGTCGTGCCGTTCTGGTTATCCTGAAATTGGAATCCGCTTTGGAGGCCGTTGGCTCCGCTTGACTGTGTGACTAGGGCTGTTACATGTGCCAGGATTGCTTTGATCAAGACGATGATCAACGATTGTAAATTTGGCAATGCAACGCGCTGTGATTGTCAGTTCAGTAAATTCGGGGTGTATCTGGCTAACGCTTACGTAGAATTCTTCCACAAGTTGTAGTCTCTCCTCAACGCTTCCAGGAGCAGGGGGTTGCTTCTTTGGCTCGTTATCCTTTGGTTCAAGAGACAATTCTTCAACGTCAGGATGGTCATCGGGGCCTGTCCAACCCCGCTCATACTTCATAAAAGCAACACGTTCCTCCCACAGCTGTTTCATGGCGCGAGTAGCCTTCATACGCTTCGAAAAAAGTTCCGCCGCTTCCATGATCGACGTCGGAATATCTGAGCCTTCCCATTTCCGGCCACAGAGAAGGTCCTGGAGGTCAGTCGAACCTTTACCACCCAACTTGTTACTAGACTCGTCAAGTGGTGGATACAGGAAAGGAAACATCTGATTTGTCTGATAATTCTGTTTCTTTCCACCTTTGCCGCCCGGACCCGCCGGAGAAGGAGGGGGTGATGGCGCGGGAGTCGCGATGTGAATGGGTTGATGCAGAATAGAAGTAGTGATTCCATTCGTGTCTCCGAGCCCAGACCCGAAAACATGATTGCCAGCGACTTTATTAGGATGGTTCTTGAGCGGTGGTAGGATGGAGTTATTTTCTGGTTCCAGGGGGAAAAACGGAGGCGGAGGATTATATGCTGGATACTTTGAGCTTATTTCTTGGCGGAAAAGGTGATAGTCGAGAGGTGAGGCAGTGATGAGCGGATGTCCTTTGGAATCTTCCAAGTCGAGATTGCTGTCCCGAAACTGTTCCTTGACCTTGTCGACTTCCTTGAGACCACCAAATGTTACCAGCATTGTTTTCCATAGCAGCAAAGAGATTTTGCATAATGGCAAATTGATCGATTCATCCCATCTCAGCTTTGCGATGAGATCGACGAACATGACAAGCAGACCTGGCTTTTTCAAATCAAGGATAGCACTTCGGAGTCCAGTGCTGTTCCCTGTCTTTTCTGCATCGCGTGCGACTTCCAATACAACGTAGACGGCCGTCATGGCACACCAAGTCTCACGTCGCTCCGCTTCTTTCGAGTCGCGCTGTACGTCAGGTACCACGTCAACCCCACATGCTCTCTGAAACGAAGCGTCGAGCGTGGCCACAAGGCTCTGCACGCCGCCGCATTCAGCCAACAAGTGCACATTGCGCTTGATGAGCGCAACTTGCCTTCCCGACTTTCGATGTGCATTGTTGCGCGCATGGTCCGACGTTGTCTCATTGTCCTCTGTCGGTTCCGGTAGACCAGCATTCTCATACCAACACCCCAGAAGAAGGTAGAGTAATGCCTCGAGCTTCTTCAACCTCGAGACGGGGTCGAGCTCTTTCAGTCCTGCTAGCAAATTTTCAACAAACTCCTTGCATTGCGATGGTGGCGCAGAAGCCCAATCCAAGCCGTTCTCACTGTCGGTCGCGTCGCTTAGCCCGTGGAATGCGCTCCACTCTAATGCGTATGACGCCTGTGTCTTGAGAAGCATGGCCTGCTCTTCCACTGCATATGAGAACCACTCCTCGAGCTCCTCTTCGAAAGACGAAGCATCATCGTAACTGAAGGCGTACGGAGCAGGCTCGACCTTGGGTATGCCCCGGACAAGATGCTGCAACTGCGCCAGCGAAAGCGAGTCGTTTTGCGGGGTATCTGGAGGCGGTCCAGGCGGCGCGGGAGGGGGGAGGTGTGGTGCAGGTGTAGGGACCGAATTGCCTCGTTGTAGGCCCGGACGTGTTGGCAACGTTAGAGGAGGGCCAGCCTGGGGTTGGTTGTCGTCTTGGTCGAGCAATAATCGTTGCTGTTCAGCAGTATCGAGGTGCAGGCCGAGCTCTTCTTCGGGCTCAGCTTCGATGACTGGAAAATCAGCACTCGAGTTTCCAATCAGTTCGGCCTCGTCCACTACCGGGGGCGGTAGTGGTTGTTCGCCAGGTACGTCGTGGTTCTCCATGTCCGTTTGCGACAAGTGTTTAAATTGTGAAATGGTAGGCCGTGGAGATAGACGAGTCGTGCCCACCACATGCGGGACACAGGTTTACGTGCGGTTCATGACTGCTTGTTCGATTGCTAGGAGCACATTAAAGGAACGCGTGTGGCCGCAAGTTGGAGAAGATGAGTCGTTGTATGGATGCAGGTGGGGGTGGGAATGCGCCGTCGGCTCATGCGTAGGCAGGGCTTCACTAGCGCGGCTCGACTACTAGCCAACATCATTTCCTTCCATCATTACACGACAACTGAGATGAAGCAGGGTACATAATTTCCATGTTACTGGAGAATAGCTCGTATGGCTGTGAATGCATCGCTCAACATTCCAACAAAAAATATATATGTATATAACGACATGAAATAAAACAAAGCCACCATAACCTGCAAGTAGAAGGAGCCCATACTCGCACCGCGATTACTATCGGGCTGATGCAGACAATCAAACGACAGCCCGTGTGCTCAAGCGAGTGAGACTTGCACTCCCGTACGCCTAGTCAAAAGGAAGCCTTGATCAGCACTACACGTGCCAATGAAAGACAACAGGGGGGGTAAACGCCCCTGCAGAAAAGAAGCGCACATGTATGTCCCAAGAGTAATAAAAACTTCGTCAGCATCGTGTCCAAAGAACATGCTCCACTGAAGGACCCAGAAAAGCAAAATCACCACTCTACATTGGATTTGCCCCCGTTTGCTCGCCATTTTCTTGGCGTTCTTTGATTTCGTCAGGCAGGATGCCGTTGTTCTCGCACGCACGCTTGTAAATCTGGCACTCGTCCCATGCACGTTGGCACTCTGCTTTGAACTTGTCACAGCTGGCGCTGAGCTCGGTGATGGCCTGCTCAGTCAACAGCTTCTCAAGAGTCCATTTTTCAATATTTTGTTGCTCGTTCTCCTTAAGCTGGGTTATGAACTGTACGGCGCGTTGGAGGATCGAGCCCTTGTTCTTCTCGCAGCCTGGAACAATCTTGGCGAGTTCGTTGATGCCTTCGTTGATAGTCTCGCGACGGCGGCGCTCAACTGTGTTCAGGTTAGTCGTAGAATCTTGCAAGCACGAGAAAAAGAAGTAAACACACCTTCTTTGTGATTGTCCCTCCGCACCTTGTGCCACTCTTCTGTGCCAACTTGGGGCTTGTGGGTGGCGCTTTGCGGCGGTGAGTCGCTGGGCGCTGCTTGACCTGGGCGGCCCGTCTGTGTTGCAGCCTTGAGGGCCTCGAGGCTGAAGTCCTGCATGCCCGTTTGTTGTTGGTTATGGTCGCCCATTCCAAACGAGCCGTCACCAGAGTTTTGGGGCTGGAATTGGAGCTCGGTCGCTTGGGGCACTGTCATCTGGTGGTAGGCAAGGGCGGCGGCTGCGGTATCGCCCACACTGGCCGTGTTGGTGCCGCCATTGTGGTGCACGTCAAATTGCTGTTGCATGTCGTCGTCAGCGGCGTTGTGCGCGGCAAGGAACGAGGCAGTGGCCTGGTCGGTCAAGTCGCTGTTGGAGTTGTGGGGTGCGGGCCGGTTGATGCCTTGGTCGCGCGTGTCGCGCTTTCGCTTGTTGGTGTGGACGCTGTTGTGGGCATCCAACTTGCTGTCTGTCGGGTAGCCGGCAGTATCCGCCATGGTATCTGGCAAGGGAGGGATGGGGGAGTATTAAAAGGGGGCGAGGTCAAAGTAGGTGTGGGCGGTGCTGTGAATTAGACACTGCGCAAAAAGGACCGGCGCGTGAGTGCCAGGTCCGCGCCAAGGATAGGGCAAGGGTGGGAGACAGAGATGGCGATATGGCAGCGTCGCAGCGTCACAGTGAACAAAATGCGATGCAGTCGCGCCGTCTAGGTGCGTGGGTAGGTAGTAGGTAGGTAGGTAAGGAGGCTTGGGTGGGCAACAGGGTGCGCGGGTTGGCGGTGGTTGGTGGAGTAAGGCAGGCCAGGACAGACGCGCTCGAATGGTAAGCCGCAGGCGCAATACAACCGAGGCGGGGGAGTCGGAGTCGCGAACGCTTTGTCCGCCAGTTCACGCGCGAAGCCAAGAGAGGAAGTAGGCGCAGTGGCAATAGCAGTCGCAGTGGCAGTCGCAGTCGCAGTCGCAGGCGCAGGCGCAGACGCAGGACGCAGCAGATGGTCTGGCAGTTATGCGCTTAGCATGAACAGTCTGTGTTGGACAAACATTAGCACGGGCGCAGGCAGGTGAATGAGATGCAATCCAGGTGGTGCGAGAGCAGCCTTCCCCCGCAGGCAGGCGATTGGGCGCATCCAGTCTCGCGTCGCCCGGGGAGAGGCAGCTGTCAGGACGCAAAGGAGGGCCGGCTCATGGTGCAATGGCCGGTGGGTGGCAGCGAGGCGCACAAGAGGAGTCGTGCGTCGTTTCGTCGTGGATGCGCGTCTCCATGATGCTGCGGTTGTGGGATGCGGAGCAACATGGGCGCCACCAAACGCTCCCTCTCCCTCTCGCCTACTCCTCCCTCTTCCACGAGGGCGTCGAGCGGGCGCAGGTGACGGTCGGAAGCGGCATCGCAAGTCGTGGAGAAGAAAAGGAAAAGACGGGAGCGAGAAGGGCGCCGGCGGAGGCACAAGGTGTGCGCAGGCGAGCAAGAAAGCGACCGTACGGGTCCAACTCACCAAGTCGGTTTCGTCGATTGGTTTGGTAACGTGATGTCGAGTAAGATTAACAAAACGGCCTTTGCACTGCGTCGACGTCTGCGCTGGCGACCAAAAGACGACGACGGGAATATTTTGCGAAGGTCCGGGAAAAACGAGAGTGTGGAAACTGAAAGCAAAACACTTCTCTTACCTTCTGTATTTCAGTGTGCCCCCAATGGACTTTGTTGTAGGACTATCAGCACAGCAGCGATGAGGGCTTTGGATCACGAGGAAGAAGAAGGTCACGAGGAAGAGGCGACGCTATCTATCGAGGCATGGGCGACCAAGGGGCCACTTGGAATCGAACCGAAACCTGGCGGGCCCCCGGCCGACGAATCAGCGCCGGGGCTGATCATTCTGCAGTCTTCCCCACTCGCCAGCCCCAAATGCCTCCCACCACCAGAGCACACTGTGCGTCCATCGAGTCTGAGTGGATCACCGCCCTGTCTTCTCGCTCGCGCTCGCTCTCTCTATCCACCCCTGTCCCGCATCCCCGACCGACAGTCGTCGTGGATCACTGAACAAGACAAGACGCGGCGTCGCGCTTTGTGGTCCGAGGCCGATTGACCGCGCCGGACCAACACACAACCACCATCCATCCATCCATCCATCCACCATCACCCCATTTCCTGTCCTGCTTACTGCCCATGAACCAGAACTGCATTATCCCATTCCATCAGGCCCGCCCGCCCGCTTGCCCGCCTCGCAGTCGCCCAGCCCAGTCCAGCCTGGCCACTGCACGGGTGACACCCCTCCACCCCTCTAGACTACCCTTGGCTCACCCGACATCTCCAGCAAGCATTCACATGGCTGTGTCAGAAACAGACGTGTGGCATGTGACACACTACGCCCCCCACATTCTGCCACCTACCGCCCATGGCCGCCTTGCCCCTTTTGCTCTTGGGCCCGTCATGCAATCCGGCGCCATCAACTCGCTCATCGCGAACTCTCTTTTCTCCCATCTTGGCCATGGTATCTCTCCATCTTGACCTCACCTTGCAGAGACTGTATTCCCTTTTTTTCAGGAAGAAAAAAATCCCTGTGTATAAAACGAGAATTTTACTGCCTCCAAACTCAACCGTGCTCAACCCGACCTACTATCATATCTCCCGTTTCCAACGCTTTCCATATACACACCAAAGCATACGTAATCAAGCGTGGCTTGCACGCAAACAAATCCCCCAAGACTTCTAACCCCAGAAAAAAAATCCACCTAAACATGTCCACTTCCCTGGGGCTAATCGACTTCCCAAAACCCGCATCCGCGCTGCTTTGCCCCATCTTTTCCCTTCTTATTATCCCACTTCAATATATTACTTTCGATCGTTCAAGGGCGTTCTAGACGCAAGGGTCTTAGACACAAGCCACCAAAAACCACACACATGGGTGGGTGGTGGGGAAGGAAGTAAAGCAGAATAAGCACATGTACATAACATACACATGAACATGATTCTTCCCAGGGTCACAAGACAGGGCAGAAGAGAGAGTGGGTTTGTTTGTGTGTGTGGATACGGGGATTTTTCTCGTATTCTTTCTTCTCTCTTTCTCTCTTTCTCCCTGGGCGGGAACGGGCTTATTTTCTTTACTCGCTGGCATGAATGAGGTTTCAAAAATGGCTCTTTCTTCAAGTATGGACATGGGTTGGTGTTCTCGTGTGACTGAAGCTTGTTATCCCCATGTCCCCCTGGCTGGGTCGGGTCTAGTGGTATGCTACATACGAACATGTAAAACGACTTAGTGCTTGTTGAGCGAGAGGCATGATTGCAGGGGGAGGGGGGGTCGACGTTTTTCCTTGTCTGCATCGAGTTGCTGCTGCTGCTGCCGCCCGCTCCCTAGCGCCACTTGGGGAGGGGGGTGTCTACCAACTGTAGAAAGTATCATCGATGCTGATATCCTCGTTGTTTCTGTTGTGGCAAAAATCTGCAACTCTGGATGATCCCGGATGTGTACGTATTGGTAGGTGGCGGCGGCGATGACAACGATGATGATGAGTGCACTGCAGTTCCATCTCCTACAGTCGTTCCTGCTCACTTCGCTGATACGACTGACTGCCCTCTCTGCCACTTCTCTAGTAACGCGGATATTTCTGTTGCTGCTAGTCATGCTTCATCTTCCTCATCCGTTCAATGCGCCAGGGCGGACGTGCTCAAGTGGCGTCAACCTACTCTCACCACACCTGTGTTTCGGCATCATGCTTCCCTTGCTTCAACACACGAACCCTTTTTGTTCATGTGACAGCTGTTTAGATCTGGTTGCAGATCTGAATCATGCAGCACTAGAACAGAAGAGGCCTCTCGCAGGCAGATGGGCAGGTGCGCCAAGACATGCAACATGCCCTTGACTGCTCTTTCCTCGGATATGTTGATGACAAAATAGGTTAGATGACTCATCATGCTTCAACTTCTGGCAAGCTACTTTCCCTTTCTCCAATGTGTAGTAAATTCCAAAATGTTTCCAAGCACAGCGGCTTCGCGTGTACAGTGACATGTACACTGCCACACACCACTATCTAACTACTCAAATCTCATAGTATTAACCAAACTCCCAATCCCCTGCACATAAATCTCCACAACATCTCCATCCTTCAAGAACCCCTTTGGCTCCATAAAGAACCCCACTCCACTTTGCGTCCCCGTCAAAATCACTGTGCCAGCCCTAAGCGTCGTCCCGCGACTCAAGTGCTCGATAATCTGGCCAACGGTATAAATCATATCGTCGGTGCCCGTCTCCTGCCTCTTCTCGCCATTGACTTTGGTCCAGTACGTCAGCGCATGCGGATCGGGCACGACGGCGGGACTCGCAATGCAAGGGCCGATGGGGGCAAACTTGTCAAATGACTTTGCGTAGCCGAATTGGCCGCCAGACACAGATGCGGGCAGCTGGTAGTTGCGGGCTGACACGTCGTTGCCGACCGTGTAGCCCAGGATGTACGAGGCGTAGTCTGCTGCGGCGACGTTTTTGCAGTCGCGTCCGATGATGATGCCGAGTTCGCCTTCGTAGTCAAGCTGTGATTGGCAGGTTTTGTGGATGGGTATGTCGTCTAAAGGGCCTGCGAGCGCGTCGCTGGGTTTCATGAAGATGGCTGGGTTTTCGGGGATTTGGAGCTATAAATAGGAGATGTGGTTAGGAGACAGCGTGGTGTTGGTGCTGGGTGATGACGTACATTGCATTCTTGGGCATGCTTGCGGTAGTTGAGTCCGACACAGAGAATGATATTTGTAGTTGGAAGTGGGCTTAGTAGCTACAATGCGTATTTTATCAGTCTTGTTCTATCGAAACTTGACACAAAAGCATTGATCAGACATGCCTTTGAAACTCTGGCCTTGCTACCAGTCTTCTTAAACCCACTCTTTACATCGCCCTCAAGTATTTCGACGGTACTCCCTTGAATCTCCTTCGTAGGTACCTCTTTCTCCAGATTGCCATACAATGTCTTGCCGTCGGCATCCTCAAATCGAATCAATCGTTCAAAAGCCGCCATGGTTCTGCCAGCTGTACTAAAATATGCCTGTGCCGGGTTCGCTGATGAGACTCTATAGCGAGGAGTGACGTAACGACAAGGAAGCACTGGCTTGGGCGTGATGCGTGTGCAGTGGACAAAAGCTCGTATGGGCAAAGAAAACATGTGTGAGTCTAAGCAGCTTGGATTATAAGTGGCTTATGAGCAATTGCGAGCGTACAATGGCGCGTTCGCGGAATGTGGAGTATGCTCAACGAGGCAACCTGCCCCACGTACGCGGGGCTGTCGTTCGGCATTTCCTTGTGCAATGGTCCGAGAGAGTCGGCCGGCAATGGCCCTACGTACTCACGGGACTGCGCGTCATGCTCAAGCTTGATGGGGATGAACGTTTTTCCGGACTATATACCTTCACCCTGAGTGTGTAGTTTGGTCAAGGACAACGGCATAGCCACATGGAAACCACACAGAATGTAACTGAGAGAGTGATGTGACAATTCAAAAATTCAACCTCGAACCAATCTTGCAATTGGCGCTTTCAGCGCGTGGGTATTTCCTTACGGTCTATCCGCTCTGATAAATCGCTGTCGCTAGCAAACTTCACGGCTGGGTGTGGATTCTACCTCAGCCACTCATCTCCACATCCCCATTGCTTGTAGCAGCCGCGTTAGGATCTAGCCTTCCCAAACATCCTGGGCAGTTATGCAGTACCATATGCGCAAACATATCACAGTCAATGCAAAAGTGGCTTTCACAAGCCCTACATTCATACCTGCCACTTTCACTAGCTTTCTGCTCCTCACTGTCATCATCGTCCTTTTTTGCGACTTTTGCTTCCGAGTCTCGTTTGGCTTCACCGTTCTCTTTGGCATTGCTCGGCGGGTTGCTGAAGGCAGCTAAACAGCCCACGCACTGTTTGCTGCCCATCTCCCGGGCGCGCGACCACGACACTGTGGCCCAATTGCGGAGGGGAAAGAGATGGTGATACGAGCGTGCCAGATGAGTGGAGAGGAGGAGCGTGAGTTGGCATGAGGGACAAGTGATGGGTAGAGAGCAAACTTTTGCGCTGCACCGAGAGCACGTATAGCCGCCCATTGTCAAGTTTCCGTGACATGCACACATGGTCAACTGATCTTCTACTACCCGTGACGGGAAGCCCATCATCATTAGCGCAGCGGCTGATTCTGAAGATTGGGTTGTCGTTACTGGTGCAGTCTTGTCCGTAAGCAGAGGCTGTCGGATGACAGGTGGTGTCGTTGTGGCTTGGAGCAGTTCCCGGAGCATCTCTTGATCTGTGGCGATTGTGTATTCGGATTCGTCGCCTGCGTTGGTTCGCTTGACAATCTCGGTGCATATTTTGAGGCGCGCGCCCATGCCAATGATACTGACCCGTATTCGGTCCCTCACACACGCCTTGACAGACTGGTGAATATCGCCAGGGTCTAGACTCAACAAGCTACCAAAGACGACGATAACCTCTCTTGTGCCATGATTGGGCGTATGGTAGAGTGTTGCTCTCGCCAACTCGAGAGCATTCTGCAGACTGGGCGAGCCTTTGGGCTCCTTGCCATCATCCTTACTTCTCAGACCTTGTATCGCTGCGACGTGCTCAGCCGGGTTGCCGGACAGCTCCGAGACGCGTATGCAGACGCCGTCGTGCATGCCCAGAACGCTCATTTGGGATATAGGGTTCTGCTCGAAGAACTCGCGAATGTAGTCTTGCGTGTAGTTGATCATGGTGATGAAACGGTTGGGGCGCATGTCCTTTTCCAGCATGGCCTCTGATAGATCCAGTACTAGTACGACATGTCTTATTATGCCACGCTGAAATGGCTTGGTATCTTTGCGTAACCGCTTGCGCTTGCGCTCCTCTTCTCGCTCTTGTACACTTTGCCCCAGACTACCATCATCTGCTGGTTGTATCGTCTTCTCCACCGTCCGCGAGTACTCCGTCTCCCATGCCTTCCTTTGAGGTGCCTCCTTGACCGGTATCTCTACCTTTCGCCTCTTGGTAGCTGCCGTGGACTGCGCGCGTGTGTTCGAGGCGCTGCCTTTGTTGCCGATGTAATCGTCATCAGATACCTCGTCCTCAAAGTCGTAATCGGAATCAGCCATAGCTTGCGTTTAGCTTGACGGCTTGGGCGCAGTACGTTTGGAGCTCAGTCGCGGGGTGTCTAGTATCATAGGTGGTCGCAGATGCGAATGGGAGTGGCTGCAGGTGGGCTGGCGAGCTTCGGCTAGAATGCGCATTCGCAATATACGGCGTCAAAGGAAGTAGCAGGCGTCGTGTGCTCCGGAGCAAAAGGCCGTTCGATAACGATGAGCATTTAGTTCCGCATGTTCAAAGATGCGAGAGCAGGGATGGGAGGCAATGATTTGTTTTTGTCAAGGACTACGGTTTCAGCAGACCGAAAGTTTCCAAACGTTTGGGAGGTTTGAAAGGGTTCACAGTCAACGGTTCACGGTGGTCGGATAATCTTAGACCCACATTGGGAGTCGGAGCGTGTGGCGCACGTACTAATAGGCTGGACGCGCATTCACGTTTTTGCATGTGAAACAAACAAAGATCAAAGTGACTGCGTATCTATATCAATAACATGGATTTAGCAAACATTATGTATATCGTAACAGAAGCCGGCATGACGCATCGAATGCGTCCAAGGAGCCCCAAAATGGTATACGCTGTGCGTGAAACAAATACCTCCAATCATCATAAAAACATTACGCCGTTGCTTTTGCAGTTTCAACAAGACCACTATATCCTCCTAAGTATATGTTCCGGCCACCGTGGGCATTGGCCAGTCGTCCTCAGTAATGCTTGACCAAAACACCCAGACCATAACAACGGCCAGAAGCGTGAAAAGCGTTTCAAATAATCCTCCGTTGATCTTGCCGTCGGAGCCGTTGCAGATATGGACGCTGATGACGTATTGGAAAATTTGCGCAATGGCAAACAACAGGGCAGCCGCGATAAGATATACTGATGATGCAGGTTAGCGGATGCGCAGTTTACATGGTCGATAAGAGCACTTACGCATGGGTTTGCGCTCGCCGAGGACGCGCAAGACCAGGAAGGCCTCGAGAAGGAAGAAGACGACGATGAAGAACAAGGGTACAAGCTGGTAGAGCGTGTATAGAGCATATGCCTTGTTTGGCGCGTTAAGACTCGAGTCCCAGTAACCGGTCCAACCGAGTCCAGTATCAAGAGCGATGTAGCCGGTACCGATAAAAATAGCGATTGCCGAGCCCAAGAGGAGACCAATGGACACGGCTGTACCGTCATCAAGAAGCTGATAGCCCACAGCACCATTGAGCATGAGTATCCAAGAAGTCGCGGTGATGGCAGCAATATGAATGGCAACAAAAACCTGCACAAGGATTAAATGGCATTCAGGACTGCGGAAGCGGACAACGTACGATGCGGACCTTGTCGTTGAGAGGGAACCCGCCAATGGTGAATATTTCGCAGATAGATACGATCATGTAGCCGATAAGGAAAACCTGCATTTCTCTGCGCGCATGGTTAGTCGAGTCAACAATAGCTTCTTGGCCAAATACGCACCTTCTGCCGACCGCAGCCTTCTTCCTTTGCGATCGCCATAGTAGGAATAGAGAAACGAGCAGAGCAATGGCGCATAGTAATATGGACCCTGAGGGAGTGAGTAAGACTGGTTTTTTTTTGGAAGCGGCAGGCGCACATACCCAAATTATGCAAATTGCGACCGCCGCCGACGGGAAAGCCTCTGAGGGTGCAGCCGCCCTGCCATCCGTTGTTGATTTTGGTGGATGCTGGGTTGAAGAGCTGTGGAGAAAAAGCGGTTAGCGGGTTGAGGGTGAAGAAGGCAGGCGCAAAGGGGCGGAGCGTCAGCAACGTACATAACAAACTGTAAGAGGTCAGCATTGAATGTATTTACAGGTGCAGAATGCAGGGCGGGGGCGTCGTACCTGGCAGAGTGCTCCATTGGTTGCCCGAATCTCTGCAAAAGTCTGCAAACTCGCCGTAGGAATTGACCATGTTTGCTGTTTACTACTAAGGCGAGCGGAGCGCAGCCCTGGAGACAGGCGCGTCGGGTCTGTGCAAGGGGGTGGAATCAGTCTCTGGAGAGAGAGAGCAGAGAGCAGAGAGCAGAGACAGACGGGCGCAATGGCGATTAACAGCGGGCGTGAGTTGGGCGGGCGGCGTGGAGGGTTTGGTGTTGAGAGGAAGATAGCGAGGGATGATGCGCACAGCAACGTCGCCGGGCGGGCGTGGCTGGGGGAGCTTCCTTGAAACGATGCACGAAGCCAAGCTTTGGGGGTTTGGGTGCCGGGGTGGGTGGGGGCAATGTGTATGGCTGGCAGGAAGGGCGGATGGGCGGATGGGCGCGAGGTTGGCTAGGGCGGTGTTTGGGAGCGGGGGGCGGAGATTGAGGTGTGGGAAAGGCAATTTGGAGCAGTTGATGCAAACGAGGGCGGAGGCTTCTGCTCTGCTTGAATGCTAATTACTGGCACTCTGGACGATGAGCAAGCCTGACGCCTGAGGTGGAACAATGGCGAGCAAAGACGTTTAATCTCGGGCGCAGCCAATGGCGGGCGGCTGAGATGGCGCTACGCCGTCTCCACCACTAAGCGACCGTGCGGTGAGCGGCAACATAGCAGAGCCACCAGCGCCCAAACAGGCCACGGGGCTGGCCGTGCAAAACAGGCGGCCCTGCCGTTCGCTGCCATTCTTTTTGGTCGTTCGGGGCAGCATGCTACACACATGTCGCCATTGTCGGTCGTAGTATCCGGGAGCGGCGCTCGTCGTGGCATGGTGCGGGAAAAAGGACGGCCATGTCTGCTGTCTGCTGTCTGCGTGTTTCATCGACGGTGAGTGTGCAGCGTGCAGCCGTGGGGAGTGCTGGGTGCTGGCGGCTGCTGCATCGCTAGTGCGGGTCTGGCGGTGAAATGACGTCTGGCGGCTGCCGGCCAAAGACTGAGTTGTAGTAAGTATGCACGTACCGACATTTGTAGTAAGCACATATGTAAGTAGATGCAAAAAATATGCCTGCCACGATGACATACGTGCGCATGCGGAATCGATCGACCGACCGACACGGCATTGTTGCGGCCATGGCCCTTGCTTGCTTGCCCTGCCTTCGTCCCGCAGTGTCTCTATTCCGGTAAACATGCCACACATGGCAGTAAGTGCTATGCGTACATGGATACAGCAAGGTAGGGCAGCCCGCCAGGCATGTGACAGACAGCCGCCTTATCCTGAATGCCGCAACAAGGGCACACTCACACTCACACTGCACACTGCACACTGCACACTGCACGCTGCACGCTGCACACTACTACTTGCGGCTCTCTATCCCCATGCCATGTGCATCCACATCCCATTGCCTCGTCTATGCGGGGCTCCAGTCCACGATACTACTAGCATACTAGCACACAACCACCCCCCAACGTGACTCGTCTCCACCAGCCTGCATGACTACCATAGACTCGTCATAATCGTCATGCTCGTAGAGCTCCTTGTCCTATCTTGCGCTTCTGTACATACTGGTCCCTCCCTCCTTGACAATCAGCCCTCAAGAAACGATAAACAATTGCCCCCAAAACAAAACATGTTACTAGATAGCACAAACCTTCTCCTGTCCATACATCCTGGCATCTCCCCCATGCCGGCTTGCCGTCGTTCCGTCCAAGCAGCAAAGAGCCTCTCCCGACTTTCTCCATCCTATCCCATCCCACTGGCCCATGCCAAGCATAATCGCCGCCCAGCTGTCTTTGTTCGCACGCACCCAACCCTCGATCCACGCATGTACACATCCTGCCCCCAAAACTCTCGTTTGTGTGTGTGTAACCAGATGTGACCGACTTGCTCACCGCTTTCGCGCTAGCCCTATCCACACCCCAACCACTTTTGGCAGCTTGACCTGTCCCTGTGACGCACCTCTCTTTTCGTTGCTTCTCCCATCCCTACCTTGGAGACGGGCTGCTCCCTAACAGCTCGCAACCTTCACCATTCCTTCACACTCGAGCAGCAGCCGGAGGCCCGCCAATATCCCGCTCCACAATCTCTCGTCCTCTGCTCGCCCACGCCAGCACGACTCTGCTTATCTGCTCGACGACCACGATAAGGACAGCGCCCGCTCCTCCTTGGACACGCCCGAGTCCGAGTCCGATCTGTCCGTCTGGTCAGACACGGGCGATCTCGTTGACCAGCTTGCCGACCGCGAAGACCCTCTGCGCCTGCATCTTGAACAAGACTACTCCTCATCCAACCCACGTCGGCACCAGAAGCGCGCCCGCTTCGCCGACCACGACTTGCACGAAAAGGGTGCCCAAGGCATCCGCTTGGAGGACATTGACATTCCCGACCCAGGTCCTCGCACAATCTCAAAGGCTGAGCGCATCCTCGCCGCCATCATGGCTCCCAATGACCGCCCGTCCCGTATCCACGGGCTGCACGGCAAGAAGTTGATGTGAGTTTCAAACAACATACACCCTCTTCCTCAATGTCGCTAACAGTACCAGCTACTTCACCAGTGTCTTCGTCTCACTAGGTGTGTTCCTGTTTGGCTATGACCAGGGTGTCATGTCCGGAATCATTACGTGCGCCGTCCTGCTCCCATTCCGACTCGAGCTCATCTGATTGTACTACAGGGGCGTATACTTTAAAGACTACTTCAATCAGCCTACAGCTGCTGAGCTTGGCACAATGGTGGCCATTCTGGAAGTTGGCGCCTTCGTCTCCTCACTGGTAGTCGGCCGCATTGGTGATGTGCTGGGCCGCCGAAAGACGATTCTTTACGGCTCGCTCATCTTTGTTGTCGGCGGAGCTCTCCAGACCTTTGCAAATGGCATTCTTATGATGCTGTTAGGTAGGGTCATTGCTGGTCTTGGTGTCGGTACACTGTCCACAATCGTCCCCGTGTACCAGTCCGAAATCTCGCCGCCGCACAACAGAGGAAGGATGGGCTGTATCGAGTTCACGGGTAACATTGCTGGATATGCCGTCAGTGTGTGGGTCGACTACTTCTGCACCTACATCAAGAACGACTGGTCGTGGAGAGTTCCTCTCTTCATGCAGTGCATCATGGGTCTTCTCCTTGCTGGAGGCAGCTTGCTCATTTGTGAATCGCCAAGGTTTGTCTCCGACCACAGCTTTCGACGTATACTAATTCGCCCAGATGGCTTTTGGATAACGATCATGACGAGGAGGGCATTGTAGTCATTGCCAATCTATACGGAAAGGGCGATATCCACAACCCAAAAGCACGAGATGAATACCGAGAGATCAAGATGAACGTCCTGCTCCAGCGACAAGAAGGTGAACGTTCATATGCCGACATGTTCAAACGATACTCCAAACGCGTCTTTATTGCCATGTCCGCCCAAGCCCTTGCGCAACTCAACGGAATCAACGTCATCTCGTACTATGCACCATTGGTCTTTGAGGAAGCTGGCTGGTACGGTCGCCAGGCCATCCTGATGACTGGTATCAACGCCATTACCTACCTGTTGTCCACTATCCCACCATGGTACATTGTCGACACACTTGGTCGCCGCAAGATTCTCTTGTCTGGAGCACTCATGATGTTGGTTTCCTTGTCTGCCATTTCCTACTTCATCTTCCTGCAAGCTTCGTGGACGCCCAACATGGTCGTCATATTTGTCATGATCTACAACGCCGCATTTGGATACTCATGGGGACCCATTCCTTGGTTGTACCCGCCCGAGATTCTTCCCCTCAGCATTCGTGCCAAGGGCGCCAGTTTGAGTACCGCTACCAACTGGGCATTCAACTGGCTTGTAGGAGAAATGACACCCATCCTCCAAGAACACATCCAGTGGCGCCTGTACCTTATCCACGCCTTTTTCTGCGCTGTTAGTTTTGTTATCGGTAAGTTCGGTGTTCAATACCAAGATCAAAGTCATGTGCTAACATGGTTGTAGTATACTTCATCTACCCCGAAACTGCCAACGTTCGTCTTGAAGACATGAACTCGCTGTTTGGAGACGCCACTTCCGTTATGCCCACGCCCGAGACGATCGCGCAAGCCGAATCTATGTTCAGCGGTGAAGGCCGTGGCTCACCCGTGCCTTCTCTCGACATTAGGGGCGGACGCCGTGCCCCTGACGAGGCCATTCCCGGACTCAGCATCGACCCTCCAGAAGTCGAAGGTGGCAACAAGGACATGTCCAAGGCCGGTACTGACAATGGCGACGGTATTGGTGGCTGGATCAGCAACATGGTCAAGAGGACAAAGGGCAATGGCGAAGGCGACAGCTCGCGCGGTGGAAAGTACAAGCAGATTGGACAGGACGAGAACTAGACGGCCCCTGCCGCAGTGCAAACGTACATGATTTCGCATTTCCTACATATGTGTCTGCATTTTGCAGCGACCGCAGGCTACGGCAATGTTAGCATACTGGGAGCGAGCGGGTGGACAAGAGAGTATTTCTGGGTTGATAGAGAGTGTAAAGCATTGGCAGGGCGTTTTGTTCTTCAGTAATCTGTGTCCCGATTGGGTAGAAAGTTTGCCAATTGAAATCCCGTCTGGGAGGTTCGTTATTGCTACTGGGTGCTTCCCATTGCTGATGTTCTCTATACATATGCATCTTGGATCACAGAGGGACCCAGTGTCTTCTTTGTCTGGGGTTCAATTTGTGATTTCAAGATCACATCAATTGTACATGCCTAGAATGTACATATCATGTAATTGCACCGAGGATTACTATATTTTACATACGGACCCTAGCTTTGATCATCTTTTGCGACTGGGATTTGAGTTTGGTGACGTGCGCAAGTGCCATGTCCCTAGGCCCGCGCTCCCAGAATAGTAGCAACCAACCCAACTTGACCACTCGTTCGCTCTACAGAGCGATCATTGGATCATTGCAACATGTTGACGGAAACAAGGGCTATGAGCTTGGAAGTGTCTAGACTGCGTGGATTGTGGCTTTCATGTGATGGGGGCTGAGTGTGAGAGAGCAAAGTGAACAAGTGTCGCCTCTCCCCTTGCACTCGGGCGGCTAGCTCCCTTTGCTCGTAGATCCAATTCGGGACAGCCCACCTCCTCGATTCTGCAGCACTGCGACTCTGGTCCATCGACCTTTTCTTCTTTGCGCCTCTTATGCCCTCATTCTGCGTGGGCCTTTCTTCTCATCGTACGGCCCAACGGCCACTTTAATTTGATTGCCTTTCCTCGAGTCCACCTGCTTGCGTACGGCTGCACCGAGCGGTCGTGCAGCTCCTGTGGTACCGACTACTCGTTAAACCCCCCAATTCGTATTTGAAGCCACGGGTCCCTTTCAGTCTTCTTACACTACCCGGCGACGATATCCTTCATCAATCATAGACCGAAAAGCCGCTCCCTACAATGGCGTCAACCGCCCACGCAACGGGCGCTGATGCGCAAGCCGAAGAGCTACGCAGAAGAAATGTAGCAACAAGACAAGATGCCTCCGCGCCACCAACGATACATGTACCGGACAAGGAAAAGTCAAAGGACAAGGTATGCCCTTCTACACAGGCGGCATTATGGCTGCCCGCCAAATGACGGCCGCCGAGTCCCTTGCTAACTTGGCCACAGCCTTTCAGCATCATCTCGCTGCTTGACGAGTACGAGGTTATCTGGGCTCCCCTGATATTTACTTTCTTCGCCTTCTTCACGCGCATGTACAAGATTGGCCTATCGCCGATAGTGACATGGGACGAGGCCCAGTAAGCACATCTGCTACCACGTATGCGAACCAGGTTCTGACCACAGGCAGCTTTGGCAAGTTCGGTTCACACTACCTCAAGCGCGAGTTCTATTTCGATGTTCACCCCCCACTCGGCAAAATGCTCGTTGGTCTATCTGGATACCTTGCAGGATACAATGGCTCATTTGAGTTCAAGTCGGGAGAGAAATACCCTGAGGAACTCGACTACACCTTTATGCGCCTCTTCAACTCGGCTTTTGGCGCTATCTGTATTCCACTGGCATACTTTACCGCGAGAGAATTGAACTTCCGCAGGCCGACTGTATGGTTCATCACACTGGCCGTTCTTTGCGAGAACTCGTACACCACAATCAGTCGCTTCATTCTTCTCGACTCGATGCTTCTCTGCTTTACCTTTACAACCGTCTTCTGCTGGTCCAAGTTTCACCGCCTACGCAACGATCCCTTCTCTCCGGAATGGGGTCTATGGTTGATGTTGACTGGTGTCTCAATCGGATGCGTGTGCAGTGTCAAGTGGGTTGGTTTCTTCGTCACCGCCTTGGTAGGACTGTACACAGCCGAAGATCTCTGGCACAAGTTTGGGGACCTCAAGATGCCCAAGGTATGTAATATGACTATTTGTTGTATAGTCAAGCTGATGTGCCCAGGTCGAGCTTGCCATGCACCTTGCTTTCCGAGTTTTCAGTCTTATACTCATTCCGCTCGCCGTTTACATGTTCTCCTTCTACCTGCACTTCATCATCCTTGAAAACAGCGGGCCCGGTGACGCCCAGATGAGCTCCCTCTTCCAGGCAAATCTGAGAGGAACCCAGGTTGGCAAGGACAGCCCATTGGAGATCGCGTACGGCTCCCGTGCCACCCTGAAGAACATGGGATACGGTGGTGGACTGCTACACTCTCACGTTCAGACGTATCCCGAGGGATCTGGGCAACAACAGGTTACTTGCTACCACCACAAGGATGCCAACAACGACTGGTTCTTCTACCCCAACCGCCACGAGGTCCCATACCAGCCAGACGAAGAGCTCCGATTTCCCGGCAATGGCGATGTCATCCGTCTTATCCACGCTCAGACCGGCCGCAACCTCCACTCGCATCAAGTCGCAGCTCCTGTTACTAAAAGTGACTGGGAAGTTTCTTGTTACGGCAACACGACTGTTGGAGACACCAAGGACCACTGGGTTGTTGAGGTAGTCCGCGACGCTTCTTCCAGGGATTACTCGAAGCTCCGCACGCTCACTACAGCCTTCCGTCTCAGACACAAGGATCTCGGCTGTTATCTTCGCGCGGGCAACGTCAACCTGCCCCAGTGGGGATTCAAACAAATTGAGACGACTTGCACGAAACAGAACAGCCCACGCGATGTCTACACACACTGGAACATCGAAAGCCACACGAACGAAAGACTGCCGCCAGGTAACCCCGGCGACTACAAATCACCTTTCCTGCAGGACTTTATCCATCTCAATGTTGCCATGATGACGTCGAACAATGCACTGGTTCCTGACCCTGACAAGCAAGACGATCTTGCGTCTAGTTTTTGGCAATGGCCCATTCTCCACGTTGGTCTTCGCATGTGCGGTTGGAATGATGACAGTAAGTTTGGACTTGTTTTTCTTTTTCTCTTGTTGTGATTCACTAACATGACAACAGTCGTCAAGTACTTTTTGCTTGGTAACCCAGCGATTTACTGGGGCAGCACTGCTTCGCTGGGCATTTTTGTCCTAATTGTGTTTTTCTACCTGGTACGATGGCAACGCGGATACGACGATCTCAAGCAGTGGGAGATTGACCAGATCCACTACGCGGGCATATACCCGATTATTGGATGGTTCTTGCACTATGTGCCGTTTGTGGCCATGGGCCGCGTGACGTACGTGCACCACTACTACCCGGCGCTGTGGTTTGCCATTCTAGTTATGGGCTTCTGCCTCGACTTTAGCACGAGGAAGCTGTCCAAGCAGGTGCAGTGGGGCATCTTCACGGCGCTGTACGTGTTGGTGATTGGCCTGTACTGGTTCTTCCGCGCCATCTCGTTTGGTATGGTAGGACCCAGCAGCCAGTGGAGGCACCTCAAGTGGCTCGACAGCTGGAAGGTTACAGACTAGAGTGAATTTGGGTGTTTCAAGGATCTGCTCTGCGAAGGAAGGGTATTTGGCGGGGATAGGAAAAGGCAAGGGTGGGGCTATGGGTTTGGTGGGGTTTTGGAGGGATGGGTTTGATGGGACGTTTCCAGGGCAAGATTCATGTATGTACAATAATCCTTTGTGGAGACTGAACCTCTCTTTTTGCATTCTGATAGTTTTTGAAACGTTCTTGTGCTGGGACGGTGTCTAGCAATGGTAGTAGTGGATGGGTGGAAAAGGTCTTTCTTATTCAGAAGGATGGATATGTGTTTTGTTAGACGCGTCTAGAAATAAAGAAATTAAAGCATCATGGCATTAGCACATCTACTAAGATTAAGTAGGGCCGAGATTATGTATTCAAATCAGAGGTGATGCAATGCCCCAATGCTCAAGCCAATGCTACTTATTTCCCTCCTTAACCACATGTCTGATGCCACTCTTTTGAATCTCAAACTCGATGCCGCGGCCCGGCGAAGGCGGGGCCCAAGACGCAAACACGAGCTTGAACCAGCGTCGCCATTTGGAAATATGACGCTCTTCGTCGGCCCACTCGTCGTGGCCATTGACTGTGTGGATAAGCGGTCTGCTTGCAAACACGGGCTGCTTCTTAAGCGCGATACGGCATGCAATTTGGTTTGTCCAGACGAGGCCGAGCGAAGGTGTCTTTTGCACATGCAGTTGCTCGTAGGGAGAGTCTCCCCAACCAGTGAACCAGGCTTGTTGGTGGTCGAGGCTTAGTGGGTCTGGCGAGAGAAGGAGGGCTTGATCTTGCTGCGAGGGTAGTGGAGGCACAGCATCGTTGGTTTGGCTACTAGTGGAAGTGGTGCGGGTAGCAGTGCCCTGGCTATTTGAAGATGTAGTGCGTGAGGCAGCAGAAGGGGCTTTGGTGAAGCGATCAGCGACTTGGTTTGCTACGACAATGGCAATACCCTCTGTACGCGCAAGCTCTCTCAGCAAGGCGCCGAGCTGGGCGAGCTGTGTGCCACGGCGTGCCATGGATGCAGCAGCATTTCCACCGCCTTGCTTGTCAAACTCGGCACGGTAGTTTGCCGCGACAGAGTCGAGGATTACAAGGCCTACGTCATGCTTCTTGATTGCGACGGGTAGCTGGTAGCGCAGAATATGCTCTTGCGACTCGAGGTCGGGGGTTTGTATGCTGAGGATGCGTGATAGCGAAGGCTTCTCAGCATCGGGGAGGGAGACTAGGGCCGGGTGGGTGGACAATATCTGGGCAAGGCGGGTGGTAGACAGGACAGCTTCGGTGGAGACGTAGACTGCCGACTTTGCAAAGCCGTGGGGCGACTTGAGCTGAGAGGCCAAGAGGAGGGTCAGAAGCAGCTGCGTCTTGCCGGCGCCGCTAGAAAAGCCGTTAGTTCAACGACTCTGGTGCGACAGGGGTGGTGGATGGACAGGACGAACCTCTCACCCGTCACCTCTACCAGGTACCCACGCGGGATGCCGCCGCCCAGGGCAGCATCGAGCTCGTCATCGAGGGTGCTGATGCAAGCCCAGTCGTGCTTGGTAGTGGGGGCAGGTTCCTCTGGTCCGAAGCCAAGCTGACGGTGCAGGGCAGCAACCACGGCGTCTGCGAGCTTCCTCAGTTCGCCGGAGGGCACCTGGGCGCGTTTGGCGATAGTGGGCGCGTCGAGAGTAAGGACGTCATTGGTGGTGATGAGGGCCTTGTCGAGCGAGGGCAGCAGATGGGAAAATGGGGTGGCATCAAAGTCCGGCAGCACGTGCAGCAGATCCGTCATGGGCCTAGTGTCATTGCAGAGTGAAGGAGAGCAGTATAATAGTGTACTATGTAGTTATGTAGCTATGTTCTTTGTAATAGTATTTCCGATTCCGATTCCGATTCCCCATGACATGAACAAAACGCCACAGTCACAGCCGTCCCCCACCTCTCCCCCCTTGGCATCGCGTGCATCAGCCACATCTCCCCCGCCACAGCCCACCAGAGCTCCCATGACGACGATGGGAGAAACCTGGAGAAAGGCGGCATCATGTGCTCTATAACTGCCTCGTCCCAAGCCTCGCCATCGACGGCCAAGTTGCCGTCATCCCCCAGACACACCCACTCTCCACGCGGTCCCGTCTGCATGTTTGGGCTTGGTTGCTGTGTGGAAGCTCCCAGCCTGCCGCCGATACTTCCACTCGTCCGTGGCTCTATGACCTGATTGCCTACAGGCCCACTAGGCCTCCTCGGGATAACAGTCCTACACGCATGCCGTATCCTCACGACCGAGTCTCTCTCTCCCTCGCTCCATTTGCTCTTCTGGCCCGCGGCTGATCTTTTCCGGCTTTTTATCCCTCATCGCCTTGCGCCTGGGGTCCCAAGTCCACCGGCTCGCCCACGCCTGCCTAGTAAGTTGTTGCACAAGAGCATCAAATTGACTGCCCCAGCTCATCAAAACTCGACACTTCTGCACAAACGCCCATACTCTTTTAGTCCCCTGTCTAGGCCGGGTTGGCACCACCAGGTAAGTCCCGGGTCATTCACTCCTCCCGTCTGCCCCTAAGCGGGTCACGTACCGAGTCGGCGGTCGGCTGCTTGGGCTGCCTGCTTGCATCCTCTTGCCCTGGCCTGCAGAGCCTTTCACATGCCCAGTTGCCAAGTGGATCCCTACCTAGTGCTGTTTTTCTCCGTCCGTCCTGGCTTTTATAATAAGACCATCCTGCCCATGCCCATGCACCGCGACACTCTTGACAACTCTAGAGTACCCATGCCGGCCTACTGTTTTCAAGACTGCCACTACTTCTATCGCAGTGCCTTGCGGCATCTCAACATTGCCACTTCCATCTCCCCTCTCTACGCCTAACTGACTCTTCTCGCCATGGCAGTTCGTAAATTCACCCAGCCCTCGTCTCTGGAGGACACGCTCGAAAAAGCATCCAAAATGCCCAACGAGGAAGCAACTGCAACTCGTTCCGAGGAATCTGCAAGGAACAGCACACAATCCTACCCAGCTGAAGCACAAGCTCCCCTGGCAAACCACACCAACCCAAACTCGAGGCCAGGCATCACCTTTGCCCACCAGGATAGTCTTCCCAAACTTCCCATCCCAGAGCTCGACAGCTCATGCAAAAAATACCTTGCCGCCCTCAGGCCTCTTCAGACACCTAAAGAGTACAACGAAACTGTACATGCGGTGGAGGACTTTTTGAAATCTGATGGCCCGGTACTGCAGGAAAAGTTGAAGAAGTATGCTAGTGGAAAAGCCAACTACATTGAGCAGTTTTGTAAGCACCTTTAGTATTGATCAAATACCGTCATGCATGCGCTGACCACCACCAGGGTACGACTCGTATCTGAATTTCGACAACCCAGTCGTACTCAATCTAAACCCATTCTTCTTACTGGAAGATGACCCAACCCCGGCTCGGAACAACCAAGTCACTCGTGCAGCTTCACTAGTCGTCTCGGCACTTGCGTTCGTTAGAGCCGTCCGTCGGGAGGAGCTACCTCCTGACACTGTCCGTGGACAGCCCCTTTGCATGTACCAGTACTCACGTTTGTTCGGCACAGCCAGAATACCAACTGAACATGGTTGCCAAATCGGCCAGGACCCAACTTCGAAACACATCGTCGTCATGTGCCACGGCCAAGTTTACTGGTTCGATGTCATGGACGACAACCATGATCTGATCATGACAGAAAAGGATATCGCCCTTAATCTTCAGGTGATTGTCGACGATGCGCAAGAAGTGCCGATCCAAGAGGCTGCCAAGGGTGCAATAGGCGTGCTGAGCACAGAAAACCGAAAGGTGTGGGCTGGTCTGCGTGATGTACTGCACAGGGAAGAAGGGTCAAACAATTCTGATTGTTTAAACATTGTTGATTCTGCCCTTTTCGTGCTCTGTCTCGACTACACCGAGCCGCAGACTGGCGCTGACCTTTGTATGAATATGCTCTGTGGTACAAGCAAGATTGAGCGCGGAGTGCAGGTCGGAACATGTACGAACCGTTGGTACGACAAGTTGCAGATTATTGTTTGCAAGAACGGAAGTGCAGGTATCAACTTTGAGCACACTGGCGTTGATGGTCATACCGTCCTCCGATTCGCTTCCGACGTATACACCGACACTATTCTCCGCTTTGCCAGAACCATCAACGGCAGTGCGCCCAGTCTGTGGGCTTCGTCAAGCCCTGACCCTGCGAAGCGAGATCCCGAGAGCTTCGGCGATGTTCAAACTACGCCTCATAAACTCGAGTGGGATATGGTTCCTGAGCTAGGTACGGCTCTGCGTTTTGCCGAGACACGTCTAGCAGACCTTATCCAGCAGAATGAGTTCGCTACCCTTGAGTTTCCCCACTATGGGAAGAACTTTATGACTTCGATGGGCTTCTCACCCGATGCTTTCGTTCAGATGGCCTTCCAGGCTGCTTATTACGGCTTGTATGGAAGAATCGAGTGTGTATACGAGCCTGCCATGACTAAGATCTACTACCATGGACGAACCGAAGCCATCCGATCTGTCACAGAAGAATCGGTCGAGTTTCTAAAGACATTCTGGGGCGAAAATCCTGCGAGCCAAAAGATTGATGCACTTCGCAAAGCCTGCCAAAAGCACACGGAGAATACCAAGATTTGTTCAAAGGCTCAAGGACCAGACAGGCATCTGTATGCTCTGTATTGCATATGGCAGCGCGCCATCGATGAGTCTCAAGATATGGCTAGCAGCGACGGTTGGGACTCGACACGGCCATCTAGCCCTGACGCTTCAGGTGTTGCTTCGCCCAATCGTAATTCGACGCATTCAGAAAACGGATCGATTTCCAGCTCACCACCTCCTTCTCCAGTGCAACACTCGATGCCCGCACTATTCGCAGACGCCGGCTGGGATAAGATTAATACGACGATTCTCTCCACTTCAAATTGCGGAAACCCTTCTCTCCGTCAATTTGGTTTCGGTCCTACTTCCGCTGAGGGTTTCGGTATTGGTTACATCATCAAAGACGGCAGCATCTCCATTTGTGCATCCTCCAAGCACCGACAGACGAGCCGCTTTATTGATGCGCTGGAATCTTACTTTTTGGAGATCCGCAAGCTACTACGACAGATCAAACGCCGTGGTACTTCTACCGACAAGACAGCCACACGCGCACGCGAGGCAGAAGACAGGCCATTGGCTACCCGCCTCAAGAGCAGAGGAAGAATCATCCTCGGAGACGGAGCCAAACAACAGACGCCTTCAGAAAGCGTAGCAGATGACGAAGAAGACGATGGTCTAGGTGGATGTAGGACTCCCCCTTCCCCTCCTTCCCTTTCCCTTGGCGATGCCTCAAGTGTCGATTCCTCCTCTTCTGCTTCTTCTTTTCCGCCTATGTACCTCCCACCGACTCCGCCTCACTCTCCGCCGTTCAAGCCCATGACGGCGGTCTTGTCGAGCTCGCAGAAAAAGCCAATAGCTGTTTTCAAGACGGTACGAGCGAGGCGGGGGACGCAGGGAGCGTCCGCGGCAAAGAAGAAGCCGATTTTCTATTCTTCTTGATCTCCTTTTCTCTTTCATTTCCAAATTTCTGCAATTTAGCCTTTTCATCTATCCTGCAAGATTTGTACTCAAGACTTTATCACTTCACATATTCTTTATCCCCTCATACAGACGCAGATTTCCTTTTTCAAAGATTTCATTATACTGATTATTGCTCTTCTTGTGCATAGATGGCTTCTTCGACGCGGGTATGCTCCGTCAGGCGCTCAACGCCAATCGAGCACAAGTCGAACCCGTCGAGCGCGACGTGATACGCAGGAACATTGGGAGGAGGTTGAGACTGGCTGAGTATTAGGGATGTTATCTGGTGGGGATAGTATGGTACTAGCGGTTGTTGGAAATGGTGGAGTAATATACTGAGCAGATAGTAGATGGAGGAGGAATATAGTATGTTGAAGTCGTATACTGGATAATTGTATATTTGTACATAATAGTTCTGTATATGTGAATGCCATTTGAGGAAAGAGGAGTAATCTCTGGAGTTTTGAGACTATTTTCTCATCTTTGATTTGATCTACATACCGTTAATCTGGCTCATGTCAGACGCCAATGCATTACTCAAGTTCATTTGTTCAGCGTGCTTCGCGACCTCAAAATTCAAACGAGCCCTGTCTCACCAAGTTTGCTCGTCATACTCTTTCGCTTTCTTTCATATCCCCTTACTAAAATAAGGGTTGGTATGACTGTACGCCTGGGGACATAGTATGACGAGGTACAGGGCGTATGATCAACTCCTTTTGCTTAGCCACCGGAACAAGTAACAGTTATACTCTCGCAGAAGCAAGCCAAACAATACAAGAGACGAAATTATATTCAGATTTTTTTTATTGGTAAATATGTACATAACCCATCAGAAATTTTCATATCCATATTTACATCTACACAGCAGCCTCCCAGGCAAACTCGACTGTGAGAACCCTTTTGTAAAAGACGCTTAGGCCTTGCTGAATCCCAGCTCATACAAATAACCCAGCACCAAGCGTCCGTGCTGAAGCACATGGTTCGGATCCATATGCTCCATAGTATCATTCGCAGTATGGATATACGGATTGCGGTACCGGAAATCAGACTCGAAGACAAACGAAGCAGGGTATCCACTGCGCATGGCGGAACCGTGGTCTGAGCATGCGTAGCCGCACGTGCTGTTGACGTAGGTGATGTCGGTGTACTGGATTTACGTTAGTATTACCTTCATCTTTTTTCTCTCTGAAAGGGGAACAAAAAAAACATACCTCGCCAATCACCCCCACCAAATACCGATTCAACACCGCATCCGTAAAATCTGTAATCAACCCAAAACTCTCGGGCTTTCCTGCATTCAACGTTCCCTTGGTATATCCCACCATGTCCTGCTGCAGCATAGCCCAGATATCTCGCCCTGCGTTCTTATACTGCGTGAAGATATCTTGGCTCCCTCGGAGACCACCCTCTTCAGCGGCATACCAGTGGAATTCAATCGTGTTCTCGAGAAGGCTGTTGGAGCCCGCAAAGGCGGAGTCGGTAAGCAGTACGCGCAGGGCCTCGAGGAGAAGCATGGAGCCGCTGCCGTCGTCATCGACGCCGGGGGCGCGGCCGGTGAGGCGGTTGGCGGAGTTGATGGAGTCAAGGTGGGCGCCTACGACGACGGTGCGGTTGGAGCGGCCTTGGATGCGAGCAATGATTGAATTTTGGGGCCAGAGGGAGTGGGGAAAGGCAGAGGCTGTGACGCCTGGTTTGTTGGCTTGCTTGACGACGGCTTGGACTTGAGCGAGGAGCCACTGGGCGGCGTCGGCGCCGGATTGGGTTTCGGAGAAGCGCGTGTGGAAGGTTGAGTATTGCTCGAGGTTTTTCTTGATGTTGGCCCAGCTGAGGGAGGGGAAGAGGCGCCGGATGTTGGCGCCGTATTGGAAGGTGGTTGGGTAGGCGGCGGCGCGCGTGACGGCTATAGGTTCGGCGAACGAGTCGGTGATGTCGAAGAAGTGGCTTCCGCAGCCGCCGCCCTGGAGTTTATCGTCAGTATCACAAAAAAAAAGGGGGGAATCGTAGTAAAGAACGATGTTTGTGTTGGGGGAAAGGGAGGGATAATAGCAAAGTGTCTCAACACCACCACAAACTCACAGTAGCAATATCCCACCTCTCATCCTCAGTAATCTGGCGCGTCTCTCCCGGCGCAACTTCAATCGTAATACTCCTCGCCGCATTACTAACTCGCTCCGGCCCCTTGGCCAGCGCAGCAGTAGCGCAAACAGTTGCGAGAAGACCAAGCGACTTCATCTTGTCCTCTCTTTTCTTGTTCCCCTTTGAAACTTGATCAAGAAACGGCGGCCTTGTAAGAAACAAGGGCGAAATAGAGGCGAGAATAGAGAAAAGTGAAGTAAAGAAATCAAACAAAAAAACGAATAGCAACAAACAAATCAACTCCAATATATACTTTATTACCCCCCCTCCCCCCCCCTCACCTCACTTTTACCCACCCCATCCCCGTCCATAATCCCCACAAAACCAACTCTGTCCGGTAGACTCACCCAAAGAAAGGTAGATACCTACATACTTTCAGCATCCGCATGATGCCGATATAGCTTCGCCAGCATCCCAACCAATAAACCTACTGCGCGGGGGTCCAGGATAGCCCGCCAAGCAAGTCTTGGGCACCGCATATCCATCTTGTCGCTTTCCTAATCCGGCATGGCGTACCGTGACGCATGCGCACCGCAAGAGGCAGGTCTGTCGTACAAAAAGTTGACACCGGGCGAGAAGACCCAGAAACGGGGCAATAGAGTTATATTGTTTTGCTGACAGGAAGGAGAGGAAGAAGAAGGTGGAGGAGGAAGCTCGACTGAGTGACTAATAGGTAATCAATCTAAGGGGGTTACATTATGAACCTTTCGACTTGACTTTATCTTATCCCCTCCTCCTCTGATATAGTATGTAGACCACCATATGCCTGCCTAACCTGCAACATGTGATTTTTGGTTCTCAACAGGATAATTTCAAACATGATATTCTTTTTGGAGTGAGGTAACAAAAACGTCCATCAAGACAAGAAAATAACAAAACAAAAAACCTTTCTCTTTCATCAGCAAACTCCCGCGCTACATGCAAATGAATAAAAGTGGGTATAAGTGACAAAAGACTATCCGTCTATACATCTTGACGCAATATAAATGCCACCAAACCTGCGCTATGCTAAACCACACCTGGTTCTGGGGCCCGACAAGGTGAACAATAAACAGAAACGACACAAGCGGTCCGTCTGTTCGCGAAAGTGGGTTCTGTGACCCTGCTCCTACTACCTCCGGCCCTGTGTCACCCAGTTAGCAACTTTAGAATCAAGTTTGTTTGGAGGGAAGCTGACGTACTAAGACGCTTGCACCTCCTCCAACAGCGGCTCGCTGTTTTCCGAGCCAGCCTTTGGGTGCTTCGCTGCGTCTTTGCAGGATAACCGTGTTGCTCAGTAGTCGCTGGTTCATGTCGTACCACATCGACTTGACCAGCGCGTTCTCGCGCCGGAGGTTCTCGACTTCTTGCTGAAGTTCGGCCTGTTTTTGTTAGTCTTTTTGCATGTGAGAAAAAGTGGCTGGGTGCTTACCGAGCCCCTTTCTGCCGTCTCTGCCTTGGCCATTTCGAGTTGCACTCGTAGTGACTCGTTCATATCGAGCTGTTCTTGGAGGTCCTATTATATGAGTCAGCTTTAATCCTTGACACATTGCAAGAAAGAAGGGAAAGAAAAATATCGCCAAGACAAGTATACTCGGGCAGCTAGGCCAGGGACAAACTCGCCACATAGTCGTTGAGAATCTGATCCATGCAGTACTCATCCTCGCACATTGCTGGCAGTTTGCTCGTCTCTGGCAACACTGGCGGCGCCATGCGATCCCGACTAGTTTGTCCCGTACCCGCCATCGAAATCGACTGCTCCAAGAGTGTTTTGCTCATCCCGGCGTAGCTATTCTGCGGCGATTCCGGTTGCACCAGAGTAGTGGCAGTCAACGACGGCTCAAGCCGATATCGCTTCATGGTCATGACAGCCGCGTCAAAGGCGGAAGAAGATGATTTTGTATGGGAAATCTGCTTGTTACTTACTTTTTTCGCCTTGTCCAGGGCTGCCTCCGATGAGAGGACAGTCTCGGCGATCTCTGAACTCGTCGCGTCCAAGACTCTGGGCTGTGTTTCTGGAGGTGCCTTGACAACTGACTCTATCATTTCGCGCATCTGCTGTATTGTCTCGACCCTCTTGAGTTCAAGCAGCTCTGGCGGGAGGTTGTCCCGGTCGAGCAAAGCTGATCGCAAGAGACCTGACTTTTCTGCGTTTGCAAGTTCCAGCTCGCGTAGTCTGTCGTTAGTTCGCTCTTGCAGCACCAGCAGACGCTCATGCTCCTTCTGCATGCTCGCCGTCCGCACATCGTCATCGATGTCAGCTTCTACACAAAGGTCAGCGTGATTTGTTTGTGCATATGTGTCACGTGACCTACTCCTATTTAGCTCGTTGCGAAGTTCTGCCATTTGGAGATCCTGCTCCCGCAGCCGGCGACGAAGCTCCTCGAGTTCTGATTGGGCTGTTCGAAGCTTTTCATTTTGTTCCAAAAAGGGCCTGTTTGAGACACTGTTTAGCTTGGTGAAAAAGACAATCATAGGAAGCAGCCTTACTTTTGACTGGTCTCGTCCTTCTCCGACATCATATCCGACCGTAGACCCAGGTTCTCCTGCATTTGCTTGAGTGTCTCACTTTCCAGTGACTTCAGACGGGCAGTGAGAATGTCGACTCGTTGTTGCAAGGCAATAGCATCTGCGCTGATGCGTCCTTCAGATGTGGGTTTCACTTCGGGTTCTTGTGAGTTTTCGTCTTGCGAGAGCTCATCTTCTAGACTATCGCCTTGGTTTGCATGGTTTGCAGATTCTAGCTCTCGTATCCGCTCCTCGAGCTCCTGCTTGGCATCCTCAGCCTTGTATTGCAACTCACGTGTCTGTTCGAGTTGTTTCATAAGCATCAGGTTCTCATGCTCGACCCGGGTCCGCTTCCCCTTTTCTTCAAAGATGGCTTGCTCCCCGTTTGCCAGCGTCTGACCATTTTCCTTGATGATGTTTTGTAGAACCTCGATTCTCTCCTCGACATTTTCCAGTTGTGCTAGCCTTTCGCGTGCTTGCTGGTGGTCCTCACGTAGGGCCTCTAGTTGCTTCGTCTCTTTTGTTAGGGACTCAATCTTCTTCTTAAGGTTCTCATTTGCTTTTGCCTTTTGGCTCAACTCGTCACGTTCGGCCTTGACGACTTGCAACTGGTCGCGCAGTTCTTGCTTTGATCCTTCCTCGGCCTGTAACCGGTCGAGGCGGCGTTTCTGGCTGTCCATAATCTCCCTGGCGCTGGCCAGATCCTGCTCCAGCTGATCAATGTACTGGCGGTCGCGCAACAAGTCGTTGCGTAGGTTTTCGACATCGTCCGACTCTTCCCGCTGGGCCTGGCCGGCGCGGACATCGAGATAGGCACTTGCTTCGGCGACTTCTTCCTCGAGCTTGGCGATGCGTTGTCGTGAGGCCTTGAGCTCTTCAGTCAGCTTCACAACCTGCACCTTCAATGCCTGGCGGTCCTTGTTGGCCTCGAACAACTGTGCCTCCTGCTCGAGTTCGTTGCCTGGGGCGGGTGGTTGGCCCGAGGCTGCACGTGTAGGTGATCGATAGCCGGGGAGAATGGGATCTGAAGTCAGTTCTGCATCAACGCCGAGTTCTGACATGCGCTGGTCCAAGGCCTGCATTTCCTGAATGGCTTCTGCAATGGTTTCGGCCGTCTTGGTGCCGAGTTTGGGCATGACCTGCAGCATGCGCTGGTTGCTGCGGGGTGAAAAACAGGCAGCGAGTAGGACGGCCATTGTGAGTTTGGCGACGAGCATGGTGGATCCATCACGGGCGCCCGTCTTCAGGTCTGGTATCATGCGTTTTGTGAGGACGGGCAGCTGCTCACACTCTTCGCGGATATATGTTGACGTGGTGCGCTCGATGTGCTTGAGGTTCTGCCATCGTGGGATCCAATTGTCTGATTGGCGACGGTGGTTTTCTTCGAAGTTAGGTAGGGACTCGTTGAAGTAGTCGGCATCGATATCGTTGAGGATCTGCCAGAGAATCTGGCCATCCTCTAATTGGCTCAGCGTCGTGATTCTAAAGGGCAGGTCGAAGGTATTGACCTGCAAGCAAAAAAAAAATGTCAGCTGCATATGCTCGGGAAATAAATCGAGTCGAGAGCGGGCTTGGGACATACCCAGTCCAAGAGGGCCTTGAGCAGCTCGGGCTTGAAGTCGTCCATGGTTGGGGCAGTCGCGGGGCTTGCCAACCCGCGTGGGTGTCTAGGGAAATCAATGGATCAATGGCGATGGCGATGGCGATGGAGGCAGAGTCGAGCGTGGCCGGCGGGCATGTCGAGGCGGACGGGCAGTTTGCAGTGACTTGTAGACGGCGCTGGTCCACCACGCACAGGCTTGTTCCCGGCTCAGGACGTGTCGACGCGTTGAGGGTGAGGTTGGATGTGTTGCCAACGCTAGGCCGGAATACAGCACACACTTGCGCGGGGCCGCGCTTCACCGCTGTGCCGTGCTCGGATCGTGACAATGAGGGCACTGACGTCGTCGACGATGGCCTGTCCTAGCCGTTAGTCTAGAGTTGCACCTCGCACTGCTGCCATAAGACACATGACGCGCATGTCACGGCCGAAAGCGTTGCTCTGCCACGACTCGCACGTCCCCGAGTGAGGCCAGCCATGGCGGGGAAGGGGCCGCTGCAGGGCTCCACCGCCCTGTCCGCCCGCCCTACTTTATCGTCGAGGCGATATGGGAGTAGAGACATGGCTGGGTGCCTGTGTAGTATGTGAAGGTAAGTATGCACGTGGGCATGTGTGTATACTGTATGCACGTCTACATGCAGTGGCTACTATTTGCTTTTACATGCAGCAATACCATGGCCAACTACCTACATCACTTTCATACTGCCCCATCCAACACCATCACCACCTTTGCCCAACGCCAACCCAAAAACGCCCAATATTCAAACCCAAAACCCATAACTAGTCCCTCATACAGTCTGCCGTTCCTCCGCCCACTGCCCACTGCCCACTGCCCACTGCCCACCGCCCACCGCCCACTACCCAACTACTCCTTGTTGTGCTGCGTTGTAACGATACCGTCCTCCTCAATCTCGCACTTGTACACATTGCTCAGTGTAGACACCAGCTCCAGTGCAGATGCAGGGGCCGTGGCCGCGAATCCCTTAATGATGTTGTACTCATATGTAATCTCACCTACACACCATCGTCAGCAGCAAACTCAATGTATTGCTAGCCCATCGAGTACCCAAGCAGACAAAAGCCGGCATCCCCACTTACCCTTTGCCTTTCGAATAGCCTCCTTGCTTTGCTCCACAATCTCATCCGGCGTGTCGTTCGGCCAACTGATGATGACGCTCCGCTGCGGCGCAAGCCCCATGGCTACTGTCGCAAACAGCGCAACAACAAGTGGAATAAGAGCAGTGCGCATTGTCTTGCAGTCAAGTCTTCGGATCCGCGCGGGTTGCTGTTGCGTGCGGATATCTATCGCTGGGAGTCGTGATGTTCAGGCGACGTATATCGTTGTCGGATACCACAAAGGCTGAGTGCTGGTACAAGACGGTCTCGGTGCAGTTGGTAGAAGCGCTATGTGTAAAGTGTTTGGGTGTGTGTGTATGTGTGTATGTGGGCTAGGGGTAACAAGGAAGGTGTTCAGGCTGTCTTGGAGAGGCTCCTGCTAGAAGCGGAAGGCCGAGTGTCACGTCATGGCGTCTTCCCAATCCAAGCGCTGGAACACTTCTTTGCCCCTCGTCATTTCACCGCCACCCAACCAACCATACCGTCTCTCTCTACACTACCACCAAAGCACCGTGGCAGCACTCATTCTTTCCCTTCCCCGCCTTTACACCCATGCATAGTATAACCATCTCACTACCACCACCACCACAACATCATCACCATCGTCATCGTCACCCATCACAAAAAAACCAAGGACAGTCATACATGATTCTGTTGATTCCATTGTCTACTCGAGACTTGCCACCTAGCTCCAGGCTCACGACAAGTGGCCATTGCATCCTCTCCTGTGCCCGAAAAACGCCGCCTACGTGGCGACCATGCTCGTGCCCGTGCTACCAAAGTGCTCATGCTCAACGTTTCTTTTAGTTGCACCAAGGTGCCGTCTTCATATCGACAGTCCATGCAACCAAAGCAACGAGGAAATGGGGGTAAGGGGAAAGCGAAGGGATAGAATACAAGTCATTCGAAGGAAAAGGAAAAGGAAAAGGGAAAGCAAAGCAAAGCAAAGCAAAAACACATACCCCAGTGTAACTCGTGTTCCATGCGCCAGAGTATGCCAGTGGATGCCTACGCTCCGTGATGATGATCGTGTAGCCGTAGTGTACAAGACCAATCTGTCAAATACAACGAGCGTCTTGACGAAGGAGCACAAACGCTCCAACCTAGACCCTCACTGACAGGATTGGCCGATAGAAGGAAACTTTTTCAATCCGCCACATGACTGAACCCCGACACCAATCCAATAGACTGATGACCATGCTGCTGAATCATGTGTCGAGGCGTTTTGAATGCTTTTTGACCGTACCATGGTTCGTCAAGTCATAAGGTCGTCCAATATCTTCCCCTCATCCTAGAACCACTGACCGTGACCGCCGTTGGCTTGTGCCACACCGTACTGCTGTTGCGGCTGCTGGTACCCCTGGTTGCTGTTGTTGTGGACAGCGTTGTGCATGTGGTGTGGAACCGAAGCGTTGCTCAGGCGGTGCGGTTGGCGATGTGGCTGCGGAGAGAGAATGCTCGGGCCGTAGTTGGTGTTGGACGTGTACATGGGCGCTTGGTACTGAGGGCCATATGCAGAGCTTGGCTCTGAAGGGCCCTGTGCAGTACCAGGAGATGCATGTCCAGAAGAAGTACGGCCTGCGTACGCGGCAAGACGGCTCTCGCGCTCAGCAACCTTGCTCATGATGCGGCGGCCGTATGGAGTCTGCCGAATGGACGGGAGGATAGGGCGCATAGCCTCAATGAGGTGGACGCACAGCTCTGCGGGCGCAAATTCGAGCGCAGTCTGTATAACGTAGTTGCCGTACGAGTCGCGCATGAGCTGCTCAAGCTGCTCAACGTCAAGCAGCTCCTCAATCATCATACCTTTGACATGCGGCTCAGCACAGCGAATGCATTTTTCAATGACGTTGGAGCTAAACTTTTGCTTGGACAGCTCGCAAATCTTGCCCTGGAAACCCTGGCACATGGGCGTCGTGAAGGAGGTGTCGTTGAGGTCCAAGATATACTGAACAACATAGTTGCCAAAGGGGTCCTGAACCAAATGAAAGCTGTGCGCCGTAATCTTGCGAATGAGATCGACTTTCTGGAAGCCAGAGGCATGGTCAATGCAGCGCTGCAGGACGCAGCAGCCGTGGCGGTGGGTGCCGACAGTGATACAGTGTTCACCTACAGCATCGAAGATGAACTGGGCATCTGGAGACTTGAGGTGGTTGAGGCATTTCTGAATAACGTGGTTACCGTTTAGATCTTGGATGAGATCAACAACCTGTCCAGACAAAGCGCGAATGATCATTTGTGTCTGATCGTCGGTCGAGATGAACTCAATCATCTTCTGCAATGCGCGGGTGCCATGCTGGTTGAACGCAATCTGAACCATGGCAGGAGCAGCATTGCGCACAAGAGTGTTGCGCTGCTCATCGTTGCAAAACTCCAGTAGCTTCTGGCAGAGGTAGTTGCCAAAGGGATCAGTCATGAGTTCAACGACGTGGGGAGCAGTTTCATCAAAGATGATCTGGATGTTCTCCGCGTTGCGCTCCTCGAGCTTCTTCTGCAGAAAGCGGCATCCGTGCTGGTCCTTGCATAAGCTGTAGATTTCCTGGCGCGGCATAGTCTTCAAATCGTAGTTCATGTACTTGTTCGCATCATTTTGCAGACGACGGCTCTGGATGACGCGAGCCTGGCTGTCTTGAACGCGGCCTCCTGGTCCATAGGTAGCATAAGGATTATACTGCGGGCCACTGCCATACATGCCGTTGGGAGTATAAGCAGAGGGTCCGCCATACTGGGGCCCAGGTCCTGATGCGGGACCAAGGTTAAGGTTGTTCATCGCGCCGTTGAGCATCGATACTCCATAGCCATAATAGCCAGGGTTTGTGGCTGCAACACCCGAGTACTGCGACATTGCTGGGGGACCGACGTTTGCTGAAGCGCCACTATTGGGAGCAGCTGAAGCGACAGAAGGACCGAACGGGGCGGCACTTGCGTGGATACTAGGCTGGTATTCAGATTCGCGGTTGGCCATGGACAAGTCACGACTATTGCGGTTCGAAATGGCGTTCTGCGGAATACGGCCAAGGCTAGCATTGTGATTGTGAAAGTGCTGCTGGGCATGAGATGTGAAGCCAATACCATTTGTCCCGTTCATGCCAGTGCTGTTCTTCAAGGTCGGAACATCGTTGGTCGAGTAGGACTGAGTTAGCTTCGGCATAGCATTGGTGGGGCTAGCGAAACTGAACTCAACAGAGCGACGGTTGTTGGCCAAGTTTTTCTTAGGCGTGGTGTCAACGTTTCCGTTGCCGTTGGATCGAGCAGAGTCATATTCGTCAACTTGAGGAGCTTTGCGGAATGTGTTAGCAGGAAGCGACTGTTGAGCCTGACGATGACGGTAACCATTCCAGGCTGGGAACTGGGTGTCCGGGCTAGGGGGCTGGGAAAGGGCCAAATCAAGCGCAGCAGAAGACGCAGAAAGCTTCGTACCATTACCTGCGCCGTCGCGGCGAACCAAGACAGGAAAGTCGTCTTTGGTGTTGCCCATCTGAAGAAAACCGTGGCGATCTTGGGAAGCATTAGTCCTGTCGTCTTGCCCAAACAGAAAACCAGCAGTGTCAATGTGACCCAAGACAGAGGAAAGGTCTGGAAGGTCTGGACGACTACCGTAATCCATTCTAGTCACAGGCATAGACATGCGATTGTTTCTGTTTGATCGCGTCAGTGGCTGTCGAGAGGTAAAGGTAAGCTGTAGTTGAACTTACTTGCGGGCCGCTGGACTCAGCGGGGTGAAATCGTCATTTTCAAAATCGTCGTGGTCCTCTTCAGAGTTGCGTCGAGAACCTGGCATGGAATGAGACGGATAGTTGTTGTCGTGGCCGCTACCTTGGATGTTTGAGGGGGGAGAGGTGACTTGGGAGTTGGCGCGGCTACTGCGAGTGATCATACCTGGTGTGATGCTAGACATGCTAAACCGGTTTGGACGCGACAGCGCAGATGGAAAGCCGTTGCTTTCGCTGTATTCTGGCGGCGTCGTGGGCTGGCTATGGGCCGGCCCGCCGTACTGGGCGTCGTTGGAGAAGCGATTGGTATCAGCTTCGCCGTGCTGGGCTTGGAGGTTGAGCAGTTCCATTTCAGCGTCAAACCGCCGTTTGGCTTCTTTGAGGTACTCGTGTTCGATTCTTTTCCTCTCGAGCTAGTCGGTTGTCAGCCGGTCAGGCGAACGCAGAAGCAGGTTTGTCGCAAGGCAACAGCGTCGCTCTTAGCCTAGGACTGTTGAAAGTAGAGACAGATAAGAACAGAGATAGCAGAGAAGAAAAAAACAAGTCGTGTGCGACAAAAGAGACGTATAGTGGTGGCGCTAGCAGTACTAGCTTGTGAGAGTTTGTTTATGTGAGAGAGAGAAAGACAAGGTGAAGGCGTTTATCACATGTTACATCGTGGGGGTACCAGTACAAACGAACTTAGCGGATGTAACCATCCAGTCGGGTCCAGGGAAATGAGAGAGGGGTGTGAAGTGAGAGGCAGCAAAAAGCTCGGTGAAGTTGACTTACCACTTGGAGCTTATGGTAGGTCTGTCAGGATTGGTCGTTAGCCCCAACTCTTCTTCACGACGCATTTACACGACTAAAAAGCATGCACGCCAAACACCAAATCACGGCTGCGGCTTGAGCCCAAATTCATCCACGTGGTTGTGGCTGCTGCGCAACTTCACCATGCTAGGCGCCCTTGAGTGCCAGCACCAGCACCAGCTCCCTCATCCCCCACCCATACTTGTACGAGAATGTCGACATACCGCAGTTGTAAATTCGGTCGGCTCTGCCGCCTGCCTACGTTGCTGGCCGATTGGGGACAATGGCGTGCTCAGGGTCGGGATGTTGTTGGTGGTGAAGCGGCGATGCAGGGTCGCGCGGCCGTCGCCGTTCTGAGCGGCGCGATTCAAGGAAAAGAAGGACGAGTCTTCGCGCGGAGACCTGAGGCCACTGCCTCCCCCGATGCCTTGGTAGGCCATGATGAGTAGAAAACTAGAAATACACTGGCATCCAGGTCAGCGCGAGGGTCGTGGGAGCTGGTGTGGGGGTTTGGCGGGCGGTGTGATGTTGGGGTTGGGAGCCGCGGCAGCAGCCCCCTCGCCCCTTGGAGTACTCAGATGGACGCAGCAGACATACATGATAATTCGTACACAGGGCAAATGCCCTTGGAGGCCTGGAGCGAGGCGCTGGAGGAGAGGGTACAGTACAGAGGTTAGGCGGATACGGTGTTGGAGGATCGGAATGTAGGGTAGGCAGGGACGGAAGTCGCTGTAGTGCGGGTCGCAGCAGCAGCACAGCAGCAGCGCGCACTCGACGGCCTATGCACGCAGCGAGTCGTGGCTAAGGGTAGGCTTGGAGAGTCTGGAAGTATTGGCCAGCCGTTCAGACTTGAAGCGCCGAAAGGGCAAGTCGACAAGCAAGCACATGTGGAGCGTCGGCTTCGCAGGTCAAGGTCAAGGTCAAGGCCAGGGTCCATCAGGGGACAGTGTGGCGCGCAGCTAGTGCTGGATGGGATTCCGCATACGTTGCGCTTCTGCTGCTGGTTGCGTCCTGTGCCCGGTAGAGGTTTGGGACCCTCCAGTTCCCGCAAACCCTGTGCATGCACCAGAGTCGCCCCGTGAGTACTTACATACTTACATAGCAGTAGTCTATTAGTAGCATCCCGCGCCAGAAACTCAGGCGTCGCTTGGGGGTGGCCGCCGCCTCTGATGCCAACCGCCACCACCCAACCCCCAACCGGATACGGCGGCGGCGGGCCTTTAGGCGGCGTATCAGGGTGGCAGCCATGGTGCTTGGGCTCGGGTTGATGGCCACAGCCTCGCCATTCTTTGCACACGGCCCACCCGACGTCGATATGCGCGGCAAACGTGCTTCTGATTGCTGCCCTCGAGCGAATTCCAGGCCCCTGGTGTGGGATGGCGGTGCCGGTGCCGGTGGGGGTGGGTGGTAGGTGTTGCATGCCTTCACGTCATCTGGCAGCTCATAGCCAGCCGGACCGCCCATACAATCCGCGCAATGAGGGGCAGTGCAACCTCCACACACTCAAGGCCCAGGCGGGGCACCCGTCGCTTCAGTCACGGATGCAAATGCATGCCGCCCTCCAACGGGAAGAGATGTCGTGCACGAGTAGTAGTAGTAGTATGTAGTAGTAGGCTGACTGCGGGGCCTGGGAGCTGTGTCTTGCTAGCACTTCAGGGCTACGACGAGGGGGCTGCCCGGCGTACATACATAGTACATGCTCACATACATACATACTACACATGTACACAAATACATACGTAGGCAGATCCCTGGCGTCAGCCGGCTGCTGACTTGGACCTCTGCCAGCCAGAGTACATAATAACGTACACATATCTGTATTGGTATCTTGCTTCTCGTTGCGACCATGTCGATCTTCTTTGACAAGAGGCGCCCCGCCGTCCAGCACAGCCGATGCGGTAAGGCGGGCTTGACCGCTTGCGCTCGCGTTTCAAGTCTGAGGGCCAGGCATTTTCCCCGCACGCCTTGCATATCCCAATCACAATGGGATACCCTTGAATCCGTGGCACCGGCTAAAAGCACTCCGAAGCGATGCTCCTATCGCCATGTTCAGCGTGGTAATGCAGTCGAGCGGAAGAGAGGGAGCAAGAGACGGTCGCATAGGGCATCAAGTCGACAAACGGGGACTGACGAGACGTTCTGGTCGAGTGGCTCGTAGTAGAGTAGTAGTGTGGACTGCCCCGCGTGCGGCCAAGCTAGCCACGGGCCAATCGGGCCCGGTTCCCAGCCATCGGTACTTGTCTCGACCGTACACACCCTACATCCACACAGCACATAGCATGTACACATTTGTATACGCACATACCGGCGCGGCTTCCATCCCCATTTGCTCTGCACCAAAGACCCGGTGCATATGGCCTTCGGGATTGATGCAGGGCGCCAGTCATAGCACTGCACATGGCCGTGTGCATGCACAACTGTAGTCGCAGAGTAGGCGCATAGCGTTGCGGCCAAATTCCGCCCAACAATCCCAAAAGAAACACAACCCGAGCGGCTGGCATACTTGGGTCTGTAAGTAGATGCACTTTACTGCCGAGCCGTACCATTCGGAAGTCCGTATGTAGTATAGATTCCAGCGGATGCCGAGTCTGTCTTGCGGGTCGAATCTGCCAGTTGCATTGTTGACCGTGGTGATTACGTCACCGTCAGACTACCCTAAAGCGACGACTATCTTCCACTTCGACTTTACCATTTTCCATATCTGCTTTTTGCACGTCCAAAAGTCCTAGATACCGGGAGTACGTACCATCTCACCTTCGCCATGACTACCAAATCAAGTCACACCGATGCATTGCAAACCCCTTGGCCTCCACATGTCCCAAAATGCTAAGCACTTCTTCTCTGCATTCACACTTGATAAACATTGATAGAGCCCATGTACATGCTGCAGAAGAATTATGTATGAAAGTAACACAGACTCTTCAGCTGAACGGTGAGCGCTCGTATAGGTAAAGCCGAGGTCTTGTCTTGACACACGGGAGAGCCGGCCGAATCAAGCTTAACATTCGCGTGTTATCTTACCCCCTCTTGGTGCAGCCGGATCCGCACCACTCTTGTTATCTGAAAGTGAGTGCCGGTGGTTGCCACTATATATCCACATAGGGCCCGTAGTCAAACCCCACCCATCATCCGCATGCTCAACAGTCATGTCGGCAGCACTACAAAACTTGGTCAACCTTGTCGCAACATCTGCCACGCGCGTTGCGCTCAATCCCATCGTGACCACCGCTCTCTTATGGATACTAACCAAGGGCCCTCCGCAACTCCGTCGTCAGCTCACCAATAGGATCCCAGCTCTTCGAGATTCAACACAATATGCGCAGATTGTAAAAGCATTGAAAGTGTGTCTTGCGTTGGGAATAGCAAGGGTTCTGAATAAACAGCTGAACCACGTAGCTCTAAATTCTGGAAGACTCCGAAGTGACAAGGCAAGATGGAACTGGAGTTGCGAAGTCGCTGTTGTTACTGGAGGGTGCTCTGGAATCGGGGAGCTTGTGGTTAAGAAATTGATCAGCAAGGATATACGGGTTGCTGTCCTGGACATTCGCCAACTACCACCGAGTCTGCAGAGCGGTAAGTCTTACCCTTGCACTACCACGTATCTCATATGCTAATTGTACTAGTTGCAAATGTCACATTCTTTGCTTGCGACATTACAAATCCAAATGCCGTCTACTCGACTGCAGAAAAGATCAAAGCAACTCTGGGCGCGCCTACGGTTCTTGTCAACAATGCAGGCATTCTCGTACCTCATACCATCTTGAACACCTCTGATGACCATCTCCGGAAGATCTTTGACGTCAATGTACTCAGCAACTGGTACACTACCAAAGCGTTCCTACCGGATATGCTCCAGCATAACAAGGGCCACATTGTGACAGTCGCGAGTGCGGCGAGCTTTGTCGGCGTCGCCGGTATGGCCGATTACACAGCGACCAAGGCAGCGATTTTAAGCTTCCACGAATGTCCGTCATCTGCCCTTGTTCTCCTATGCTACAATAAGCTGACTGGTGGGTAGCGCTCAACCAAGAACTCAGGTATCACTACAACAGCCCGAATGTGCTTACCACATTGATCCACCCCAATTGGGTGCGCACGCCTCTCATTGCATCCGTCGAGGACGAGCTCAAGAAGCGCGGTGCCTCTATCATTGAGCCGACTGTTGTTGCAGATTCAATTGTCAAGAGCATCATGAGCTGTAGTGGTGGACAGGTCATGTTGCCAAGTGATATAAGTAAAATAACTTACGTCAGAGGGTTGCCGAATTGGCTACAAGAGAGCCTCAGGAACAGTCTTAGCAAGTTGATCAGCAATGGTCTGCAGTAATCAAGGGTACTATAAGTATGTTTCAGCCGGGGCGTCTTGCACACACTATGCATGGGTCGGTAGGGTATGATACGACCGCCATAGTTACCACTCTAGGGACAAGACATGTAGCTTTCGGCGGCACTCGTACGGCGAGGCCCTTGTGTGGTGACACGGATATGGCTTGCTGGCGCTGAGATGCCGCTTTCAGTAGGTTTAAGGAAAAAGCGTCGAAGACTGCATGCAACGTGCCGTGTACGCATGAGGTGTGTGTGGGTGCTTGCCGTACTTCTGCCGTGCTGCGGTACCATTCACACGCCTACTCCTAGTGGCTCGGTGGATCGCGCAACAAAACACCGAGACGGACGCGTCGCGTTCTCCGCCAACAAGTCACTTTTGCTTCCACATTGAGCCAACAAAGTCTCAACCGCCATTTCCCAGTCGCATTGATTCACCACCATGGCAGAGGCACAGGATGACGTCCACATGGACACGCAGGACATGGAGGACGAGACGCCGCCCTCGGACGTCTTCATGGCACCGTCAATTTCCAAGCCGCATCTTCTGGGTGGTCGGTCTTACTCACACTTCTCACCCATCCCCAAGCAAATTGCAGATGACATGGCACGAGAGGTTGTCTTGGGTGTCGACGAAGCAGGAAGAGGCCCTGTATTGGGTACCGCTACTCCGCCCGTCTAAGACGATGACTGTGACTGACACAATCCAGGCCCTATGGTATACGCCCTCTTCTACTTACCAATCGAACTGCACCGCTCCCTCCTCGCCGAAATCCACCACTTTGATGACTCCAAGGTGCTCAAGGCCAATGTCCGGTCCGATCTTATGCGCACGCTCTGCACCCAAGGCACCGATCTCTACGAAGCCGGTGGGTGGGCAACGCGGCTGCTATCTGCACAAGACATCTCCGCGCACATGCTGCAACCATCCGTGTACAACTTGAACGCTCAAGCTATGGATGCGACGATTGATTTGATAAAAGAGGTCCTGGCCAAGGGTGTTAACGTCAAGGAGATATACATTGATACAATCGGCAAGCCCGAAATCTACCAGAAGAAACTGGAGAGAATATGGCCAACCATTAGCATCACTGTCGCAAAGAAAGCCGACAGTCTGTATCCAGTCGTAAGCGCAGCCTCGGTCTGCGCCAAGGTTACGCGCGACGCTGCACTAGACGTGTGCTACGAGCCCTACCACAGCCGCACCGATCCAGAAGCCGAAGATGGGGCACAAGTCCAAGCCGCGTGGGGATCAGGGTATCCGTCGGACGCGCGCACCTCAGCATGGATGAAGCAGAACATGGATCCCCTCTTTGGCTGGGGCAACGAGACTCGCTTTTCCTGGGGCACAGCCAAGGAAATGCTTGAGGGGAAAAAGGCCGATGTCAGCATTGACTGGCCGGCGGAAGACGATGGCAACGACATGCGAATGACGGACTTCTTCAATGGAAAAAACGAGGCAATCGGCGATGAACTCGTAGACTGGTTTGGAAAGCGGGTGACGGAAGAGATGGAAGTGTTTTGATTGCCTTGAGGTAACGCAAGGCATCCTTGCGCAAATAGCATTGCTAGCGAAAGCGGCGAAGCACACGACACTTGTTGAACACGACCATGGAAATTTCTTTCTCGGACACATCTTGACTCGGTGCGTAAGGCTGGTCTAGTGTATACCTATCGTCTGGGTAGAATACCCGGGCGTCTTCGTCGGTCCGTTGAGAGATTTGCACAGGCCACCAACAAGATGGGTTATCCAACGTCACATGCTCACATGCACATCGTCAGAACCAGTCAACCCACGATGACGAGTCTAAGCACAGCCCGCGCCCTTGAAGTAAAGCCGCATTTGCTGACAAGGGAGGCCCTTTGTGGCGCTTATGTCGACAATCCGATGCGAGCCAAACCAAATAGTGCGCCTAAGCACACGCCCCTTGTTGGGGCCATTTCCGTGCCTGCGTGTGCTTTACGTCTATGCGTCTCATTCTGCACAGAGTCCAGGCGTGCACGTATAAGTGTTGACGCTGGCTTTATAGCAGCCACTGAGCCGGATGCAGAAAAAACCTAGTCATACATAAACGCGCTTCACTTCACGTTCGGATCTAATTACGTCGCTACAAACAAACAACAGGCAGCCGCCATTTTCGCACCTTCTTCCTACCTTGCACAAAACCTTGTGACGCCGCGATTGGATTTTAACCACTGCGCCACCTTCTTATAGTATCGCCATTGAAATATTGTCATGAAATGGTGCAGTAGAGCTCCCCGTAATCACACGTCCTGGATCCATACGAGCACGACAGATAAGCAGCATACGAAAATGTCTCGATCAAGGAGCAACGAAGCCACACCCTGCCGCTGTACACAAAATGATAGCGTGGCGATGCAGATTTGCGAAGGCGGACGAAGAGGTGGTGTTGCTGCACGGGGAGAAGGCAGCCATTCCACCCTACCCAGCAAACGAGACAGCAGCATCCCGGCGCATCGATGTTTCCTACTTTCCGAAGACGAAGACAACGACTGGGACCCATATCCGCCTTCGCCACCGCTCTCTCCTAAAACAGTTGTCATCGAGCCAAGATCACGCTACAGTCAGCGCGCAACTATGTTGCACCAATATAGCTCAGCGAAGCGGCGACCAGGCTGGAAACCGAGTCTCAAGGAAGAGTTACTACGCAGAACATCGATGGATGCTGCCATGGGGCACACTGAACCGCGTGCCAGCACACAGACGGGTCGTAACAGAAGCAAGACGACAAGACTGCATTACACGGCCGAGGAAGGTATAGAAACTCCGCAACCACAACGAAGACGCGGATCAACCTTGTTGCATCCTTCCTCTCCAATCACAGGTTCGGCAATATTACACGCAGGCGCTCCACCAACGGACATCCAACCGCTACCACAGTACCATCCTTGTTTCGAGAACAGCCCAAGAATTCTTCTACGCAAGGGCTCCTCGCTACTCCACCCGTCTCCACCTCTAAACGACGCAGAATCGGAAGCCAACATGCGAATCGCGCAGCTGAAAACAGTCTTGTCTTTCCCCCCGAGAAAACAGTGGTGATGTGAGATTGATGTAGTTGTGTTTTTTCTTCTCTTTATTCACCCCTCATCGCTTTATTGCTGATGGTTACGCGAGACAAGCTTTGCTATGATAGATGCAGCTTTTTACAACAATAACCCTTTTATGCTACTAGACATTTTTGTATGTATGTGTTTTTGTGTTAACTAGTTCTTTTTTTTTATGTAGTTGGCTATCGATGTTATGTATATAGAGTATAGACCGATCGTACCCGCTTTACTACATGTTTTTTTTCCTTTGGTTCTGCGCTCACTGTAATGGTGTTTTTGTTAAGCGGATGTGGGAAGCAAAGCCCGATGTTGAGGAATGAAATGCTTGGTCTTCAGGACTTTGCATTCACCCGCCCAGAAAGATGCTGGTCGTCCAAATTTTACCAAATCTCTAACCCTTGTCTTGCTGAAATATTATTAGCATCCTGGATCATGCTATCCATCTACACCGCATGTCTCCTTCGATACTTACCTCTCCCCATTTCCCAGTCCGCGGAGTCGCGGCTTCAGGGGTGGCATAAATCACCGTCTACGTTGTTGGAAATCCGTGCACAACATTGCATCAATTGGGGCTGCTGTATAGCTTGAGCGGAAGATGTGGTGTGATAAATTATCGAATGAGGTCGGTGAGATCCGTGGGTGTATTGTTGGCTTGCGATCCCTGAGTGCATAGGGGATAATGAAAGCGCGGAGGAGCAAAATGGTTGGGAGGCTTCTCTTGCTTTGCTGGTAGCCCGCGGACGCACTAGGAGTGAGTTTTGCTGTTTTTCTCGCGCAAATGGGCGTTTCGTCTTTTGGGATTTTTGACGTTGTATTGTTCGAAGTTGTTGGAGTGTGTTCATTTTTGCCTGTGCCATGTAGTTAAGGCGTGTGGATGTTGGAGATAGTGAGAAGGCTGGAGGTAGTAATGTCTTCGACGCGTGCAGGGCACGACATGTACATAATGATGCTTGCAGAGTTTGAACTCCTCGCCTTTTTCAATTAATCTACTGCAATGCTGGTTACAGACGAGATCGTTTCCGTGAGATACAACTTGCTGAGAATGAACCGCATGCAGACGAATTCTTGGCCCAGCTGTACGCCTCGTTGCGTACTACTCAGCGCTACTATCTTTCAAACTCTCTACGCAACATATATCGATTAAATACCAGCCAAAATTATATAATGCTTGCTGACAGATTTCGATCATTTTGCGCGATCCTTGCTTGATCTTTCCCTGAGGTATGTGACATGACAGTACACTAAAGGATGGCATTCAAAAACTCATTCAGCATTGTATTATGTGAATCTCATAGTCTTATTCCAAGATATGAAGTTTTCGCAAAGCCGGTACTTAGCTATACTGGAGTATGAGTGAGTGGCTATAGCAGTTTCCTCTCTAGCTGGAGAGACTCCGCTTCTCCAAAAAGAACGACCCCCCAAACAACATAAATTCAATGCTACTACGTCGGCAGGTACCCGAAAAGCGCAAAAAAAGGAAGATCTATTGCATCGGCCGGGAATCGAACCCGGGGCTAGCCGACGTTGTCCAGCTGGGACCTTTGAAGGACCAGAGTGGATGGCAACGGCTAATTTTACCACTAAACCACCGATGCTGAAAACATAGAAGGTATTACTACCTGAGTGACCTAACCAGGGGTCGAACCTGGAATCTCTTGATTTCGGATGTGAATCGTAGTCAAGCGCCTTGCCATTGGGCCATTAGGCCAAGCGATTGCTTAGTAATTTGATGGGGGATCTTGAAATTGAAACATATATTATCATCACAAATATTTGAAACGGAGTCAGAAGTGGAGAAGTCAACATTTATTTCTCGGAAGAGGGAACTGTAGTGGGGTGTCCATTTGAAAAAAATTCAGTGTCCCACTGTGACTAGGGAGGGGCCGAAACTTTCCGAAATCCGGAATTTGACTTGGCGAACGCGTAGTGGAGCATCCCTGAAATTTCCATTCTCTTTGCCTTTGTTCTTTCTACGAGAAACATGGTATTCATTGTAACTTTCCAGCACTGTGAAAGTTTTCCAGGATGAGAGATGATTTTTTTTCCTTCAAAGATACTACATGAGCAATTGATTCATGTAGGTATGTTCGCCCTAGCTTCGAGACATGCCTTGTGTCAACCCCATTGAAACAATAGTTACAATAGTGGCTGCGCAGTCGGTCTGAGTAACTCGTTACATGCTTGCATTGAATAAAATGGCGCACGACTATCAATTCCATCATCACCTAATTTGAGCTCCAGCATTTTAGGTGAAAGCCGAGAAGACAAGAGCTAATATACCCGAATGCAGTAACTACAGTTACACTTTTGTCGTCAATATTGAATAATACGAAGAGAGGGGGAGAGAGCTTGGTACTGGTTCAGTAGAAGAGCAATTCCCAATCATGTCAGGCCTATCGCAAGTACGCTTGCTTGGCACCGTACGTAAGGATCAACCTTAACTATTATTAACGATGGTACTGTTTCGGGAATGTCTCCGAAGAATTCCCTTTACCAAATGAGTAGCAACAATATTTTGGTTCAAAATCAATTTAATGGTTTCAAGATTGTTAAGTGATAAGCGACACTATGTACTTCTTGAACTCTCTGCCCACCATGGTACCCGCTCTAAGCGATGAAGTATGTACTTGACACGAACGAGTTGATAGTTGTGATGCGATTACCGATATATCAACAAGTGCTATTTCGGCTTCTATGATCATTCGTATTGTCTTGGACACTCCGATACCGATGTAGATTTGCGATTGGCGGCACCTGATAATACCAGGCCTCTTGAATTTATGGATCATACATTTGATGCCATATCACCACCGTGGTTCTTAGCCCAGACCATTACCGCGTGTTTGTCATAAGGCAGATGCGTTAGGAACAAGCCTGGTAACTCAGATGAAGATGCCTGCAGCCTTGCATAAGTAGCGCGATTTGCATGTGCAGCGACCCGTACCATTCGTCGTCGCTACCATCTTTTGCATACGCGACACTAAAACCCAAGCGACATATCTTGGCCCAATGGTACCACCAAAGGAAGATCAGAACCCAAGAGGGATGACCGCGAATGGTTAGGCATGCATGTCGCCACCACAGGGCAGCTTGCTGCAATATCAAGGATGACGGTAGCCGGCGCCATGTCTTGCGGTATGTACCTATCTTCCGGCAAGTTTAAGGTACCGCGACTCAAAAGAAAACATGGTGCTTGCTCGAAAATATCCCGACTGACTCGACAGTTCCCGTCTTTGTGAGACGTTCGAGAGCTGTTCCAGTGCGCCACCCAGCTCGTGTTCTCAATACTTCAAGATTATCCGCATGGCTTGTGTGACAATATCGTTTCTCCACAGTCCCACCAAGGTAGTCATTTCCACAGACAGCCACGTCAGCCGCCTTCTGTTACTCAAGGGGCCGAATGAAGGATCTTGTAGTCGGGGTTCTGATATCCGGCTCTACCACGGCAGCTATGCAAATAGCATAGGGTTTCAGGATCACCCTATGCTCCTAAGTATTTAGTCCCATAGGCTACATCGTTGTTGAAGTGAGGTGGCTCGAGAGCACGCGTTGTTGAGCCGACGAATGTACGTACGTAGCGTGCCAAGAGGAGTCTTTGAGGGCTTCCCCACCGCCGTATTCTCAATCTGTCAAAGGAAAAGCGTAAGCCACGATGCCCATATATCGACTTCCCCGCGGCAGATGGCAAAACTAGTTCAGATGGATCAAGATACGTGACAGGCATAGACAAGTTTGCACATTACTTTTTCCAGAAGCGTGTTTCATCGCAGCGCGCTATTTTGCGAGCGTCAATTCCCACCTTGTCCGACTGTCGACACATACCAAACGACAACGGCCGAACTGCAACAAACGTATCATGGGTGCTTGAAAGGAACCGGAAACTTCACCCGGGTCTCTTGCGTTCTGCATACCATCATAATGTTGGGAATTCGGAAGGATACCTGTTCGTTAGCATGTCGATCACGAGGAAAAGCAAAGTGTTGCTTGATCACCTTTCCAGGGGGGAAATGAGCCTCCCTCCGCGTACGCTCGAGATACGCAAACCTATCTGTTCTTTTTCGATTGTTCTTTTGGGCGCATCCTACGATATCACCTGGCTCAAGCCTACAAGCCACCATCCGTATCGGTGGAAAAGCGTGGTGTGGCAAATGCATAAGCACGCCTGTCAACGAGACGAACGCTTCCGCTGTGTTTATGGCGCATTGATGTGGCTATCATCCTGATCAGAATCTATGCTATCGCGGGGATGGACTTGGAGAAGTGGACCTGCAGTAGTGTGTAAAAAAAAAAGCACATTGCTTGTCTTGGTTCGGAAAAAGCTACTTACATGGTGCCGGGATCAAGGCGCGCCCTGTAGAAAAGCACGCAACTGCTAAAAGTATGGGGATACTCCATGGCCAATCTCATGCCAGTATCCAGCACCACCTGTGCCATGTTGATGTGGCTCTTTGGGACGCTAACGACCCCGTAGACCAGGGACAAGTCCTATACGCCCAAGGCTAGCATCCAGCTCCTCCACTCGTGTACCTTACATGCAGACGCCGAGCACTTGTATGGCCCGAACCGTGCATATGCTGCCCCTGGTTCATTCTAGGGACGCCGATGAGGAGCTGTGAACCATGCGTAACTATGCAGTATTACTGGGGGTTTAAACGCCATGTTGTATCCGTCTTATGAGATACCCTCCTCTAGATACCCTGATCCCTCCACTCCAACTCCACATCCACACACTCCTTTCTTCTCTTCAAACATTCGTTTCGACATTCCTCCTCTTCTGAAGCCTCTTTGGTCAAGTTGCATACCTTCTAGCAAACGTCAGTACACCACTGCATTCTCATCACACCATGGGTGGGGATGCAAGTGTAGTCTCTTCTTCAATACTGCCTCATGCTTCACTCGCCCATGACCAGGGACCTCTTCATCTTGCTATCGTTGTCACTCTCGTCTTGATCGCGCTCGTCATCTACTCATTAAGGGTGTTTACACGTGCAAGGCTACTTCACTCATTTGGCTTTGATGATGGACTCATGTTTCTGGCTGCGGTATGTTAAGACTAACGACACAAGCACTACATAACTAACATCTCGGCAGCTGTGCGCAGTAGGTGTTTTCGTTACATTTACTGGATTAGTGGAGATAGGTCTCGGACGAGAAGATCGAGACACTGCGTCTCTAGTTGAAAGCGAACGGTTGGGTCCATGGATTTGGGCACTAAAATCAGCCTATATCTTCGGGCTTGGGCTGGTAAAGCTGTCAGCCGCCTTCACGCTCTTGCCCGTATCTAATTCTAGATTCCACGCCTATGTATACATCTGCCGCGGAGTCCTAATCATTGGAATCATGTGTAAGTTTCCGCAGTAAGAAACAAGATGGAGAGGCGTCAAGCTAACGTGAATAGTCTTGATATTTTGGCACACACTTGAATGGTTCATTTCAATTCTCATTCATTGCATGCCTCTTGTAGCGGCTTGGGACTTCTCATACGGCGGGAACGCAAAATGCATGTCGCGAATTGAATCTCAGCATTGGGCTATGGCAAATTATAGTGAGTGACGCCCTCTTCACCCTAGTGAGACTATACTGACGCTTTGTATCAGTAACCAATGCAACTTCCAGTCTCTTACTGGTTGTACTCGCGGTCCCTACCATCTTCGGCTCATCTTTCAAAATCGGTGTTAAAGTATACCTCGCACTAACAACTGTGTTGGCGCTTTTGTACGTCCAAATCCTCTCGGAGTATCTTCAGTCTCGCTAACATCTCCATAGTTCATGCACTATTGCCATAATTCGAAGCCGAATGGTCGTTGTTTCCTGGGCTGAAGTAGGGGATCGAGGCAGATACGACTTGTCCTTCATGACCTGGGGCACCGTCGAACTTACAACAGCCATGATAGCCGTGAATCTTGGTACCTTGATACCTCTTGGTGGAGCCATCAAAACACCAACAACAGAGCCTCCGACTCGGCGCTCTCCCCCCAAAATCTCCGGTCCGGTAGCGGGAAGCGCTGTCCACGTATCCCATGGCGATGTCGACTCCATCTTCAATGCCGAGCCCAGTGCCTCCTCCGAATCAAAGCAGCGCAACAGTCAGTACTCTGGCCAAACAATCATGTATCGCCCCAACACTGCATACTTCCCCGCAAGTTACACCCATCCCGGTCTTACGCGCTTCCACGACGACGAATCGAACCTAGATTTCGACATTGAAACCCCCTCTACCCGGTCGACGCGCAAACTGAGAAAACCATTCCCGCCTTCACGCTTCTCTGGATCGACGACATATACGGTTGACACGCGCCGAATAAGTAATTGGTCGCAACTAAGTGGATTCACATACTACTCGCATGCATCGTCACCTGAGTTCAGCAACCCACAAGAGAGCACGAACAGGATGTCAGTTGGTCCAAAGGAGTTGGACGAATTTAATATGCACTCCGAGAGAGATTCAGGGAGCGCGAGCAGTGCAGGCGATGAAAACCAAGAAATTCGTGTTGTTTCTGACGAAGAGAGAAGAAGCGGGGGGTTTCCAACTATCTTCCTGGAAGACGACGTGAGGCACGTATACAGCCCCAGGTGTTAACAAGTTGAGAAAGAAGACGGATTTGAGACATGCGCCGGGTTTTCTTAGAAGACACAGTCGAGTCCGCAAAACACTCCATGCGATTAGCGATAGTGGACAGTGACCCAACACCCAGGCGAGGGTGACTTACGTGCGATAACTGCATTCCTTTGTTTTCCTTTGTCAACATCAGAATCGACATCATCGGAACATTTTTCCTTACTTTGTGCAAAAGCGCCAACATATTAGAGCCCTACTCATTCACGCGAATATCTCCTATTACCATTCTTACCAAGCTCCCTTAGTATATCATTAGCGCTGGAATGTTTAGTATTAGAACGAATAAGAAACAGAATTTCGTTTTTTCATTCTCTAAGATACAATCTCGTACTCATATGCACCTGTGATCGAAAGCTTAGTGAAGAAGTTAAAGCGATCAGATCCAGCGTTTCTTGATGTACTGCGCCTGGTAGCCACCAGGTAGCTCGGTAACCCAACCGTCAATGTCTTCGTTAACTACGCGCGGTACGGTGCATTTGTTCATGGCAGCTGCATCTTGCGTCTTGAGCGTGGGACAATTGACATAGCAAGGTGAGTCGAGGGCTCGCTGTAGCGCGTCGCCTTTCCAGCCAAATATATAGTCGCCGTGATTTGCATAGCCTGTCCTATTTGGTAGCATGAATGGTTAGCAAACTGCGCTACAAAGCAGTGTAGATGCTTGATTTGAGACAGGAAGAAAGAAACGTACCTATCGCCAAAACTCCAGACAAACGGTTGACCTCCATCTTCGGGCCATTCAGTCAGGTCGTTGAACGAACTCGTATCCCACACAACTTCGTAGAATAGCTGGCTCATTCGGACGGGATGGCTGGCTGGACATGGTCCGCCGGATTCAAAGGTCCCGTGCTCAGGATATGCCATATGTGCCATGTGGTTTGGAGAATCGAGGTTTTTGCCATCCCAGCAGCTAACATCATTATTAGCAAAGAACGTGGCTTGAGAAACATACGAGGGACACAAGGGTCTCCTTACGTAGGAAAGCGAACAGCTGTCATGATGCCGGTTTTACACGGTTTATCTGGGAAGTCGAGGGTTTGCGGATCGCGGGTGTCGATGTGGTCGAGACAGGTAAATGTTAGTTGTCTGAAGCGTTCAGCTTCTTGCTTCGAGCGTGCGTTGACGTCTCCGATGAACATGCGGAAGCCCTGGTGTTGTCAGTCGATCGTGATGCACTTGATAGAGGTGCGGGCCCAGAGGGTTTGGCGTACCGGCTGGAAGGATTGGACCTTTGATGTTTGCTGGAAATTATAGAGTCCGTCTTGCATGTAATACACTGTCATTCCTCCATTGACGCCATTGAAGCCTGAGTTGGGAATTTGAGGCACGCGCTTGTACGTGCCGTTTCTGGCCTTGAAGTAGCTATGGCGCTTGGTATTAGGGTTTTTCTAGAAGTTGGATTGTAGACCTTACAGAACGGCTGTCCAGTAGTTCTGCATAGAGTTTAGTGGAAGATTTCGGGAGAGCATTTTACAAGTTTTACTCACGGAGAAGTCCTCACTGAATTGGCAAGATGTGCAAGTTGACTCGCCTGGCATGTCTTTCTCCGGATCCATGGTTATGTTGAAGGAATCCTATGCACGCTTAGTCTTGTTCAATCACAGGTGGTGAGTTTTTGTACCCCTCCGAGAATTTGGTGAAGATGCGGAGAGGGAGCTTGACCGGGCGTGACCAGCGGGTCTAATCTATCGATAACTAGTTGTGCGCAGGGAAAACGTAGCAGCGCTGTTGCAGGAGCAGCAAGTGCAAGAGTTGTAACGCCAAACAACCTCATGTTGGCCGAGAATTAGACGGTTTCGATTTGAATATCAGAAATAGACAAAGAGCGGCTCTTTGTTGCTGAAAAATAACTTGTACAGTCCGGTTAGATTTTGCAAGGCTACAAAAATCAAATACGGGAATTTCAAGTATATAAATTGCGTTTCAAAGATACTCTCTGTAACTGATGTGGGCAGTACTGCACAATATTTAGTCGCAAGACGGAAAACAGCACTTGGTTTCCCACGTGGAAAAGACGATCATCATTGTAGGATGCATTGCTCCGATGACCCTGGCTAGCCGTGTTACCTTCTGATATCTTTTGAAGCCAAGTGCAGTTTATGTGGTATGCCAATCTACTGTGCTGGGCGTTGAGGTCTCCTGATCAGCTTCTGATAGGTAACCAGGTCTTGAACTTCCTAACATTCCTGTTTGGTACAATGCACTTGCGGCTGTCAATGGGGAACCAGCTTTGATCCATGCTGAAAAATTCCACTTTTATTGAGTGTTTCATCGTATTCAGCCGTTCTTAACGATCAGTATTCATCTCGTGGTACATGTCTTGACTTTGCTTCGGCAGTTGTACTGAACACCGGAAGGGCGGAGGACGCCCCACCTATATGGTATTCAATCAAAGGAGGAGAAATCCATCACTGTCCATGGCTATACCGCATCATATTAATATTGGTGGATGTCCAGACAAGGTTGTACAAGCCTTAATCTATCCTATTTTACCGACGCGCTAAGTTGTGGGGTCTTCTCTTGGGTGCTGTCTATCACCATTTTTGGTAATTGCACGGAGTTATCGTCGTATCCTAATAACGTCAGGAGAGCAAATGGATTTCATGATTGGAGGAATTCATGGTCCTAAGTTGGGTCGCTCGGAAATTCCAAGGGCTTGTAGACGCATACTGATGATACCACCGTAGGGCTTTGGCCGGTTGAATATCGAAATATTGAACAGAGATCCGAGAAGCCATGAGCAGAATATCCAGATACATTGTCACGCCATCTGATGGTACTATAACCGATGTTTGTAGACTGCAATTGTCGGAATCCAGGATATCCCTCAGAAGGACAAACTTTTGCGTTACCCACGGCTTGCATAATCCATTTGGCTGTCAGCTCATTGGAAAACATCTTGTTACACTATTTACCCCTACACAACGGCCATGAAACTCATCAGCCTTCTCAGCGCTACGTGCTGGTTATCATTCGTATCTGCCGCCTTTGATTACAATAGAGGAGGAGCGGTACTCAAGGCTCCTGACGGCGATTCGTTCCAAACGGTCACTAGTACCTTCACTGTCCCAAACTTGTCCGGCTCAAACCGATTATCGATATGGGTTGGTATTGGTGATGGGCTGGAGCAGAACAACATTCTTAGTGGTGGCATCGTCTACAATAGCACTCTGAAAACTTTTGCTTCGTACTTTCCAGGCCCAGCAACAGATACGACTTCGGCTGTTCCAGTAGCAAACGGCGATTCGATCACTATCACGGTCAATATTACACTGACAGGTGGCACGGTGACGATCGAGAATAATATGCAAAACAAGAGGACGACACAGATTGTCGCAGCACCAGCAGGCGTTGAGCCAACTTCATTAACTGCACTGGCAGCAGATTGGTTTGTTCAAGCCTACCAAGTGATTCCTGGCGAACTTGTAGCAACGCCAGACTTCGGCACGGTGTCTTTCACATCCATAAAGGCGACGACGAAGGGTGGAGTAGATGTACCAGTCTCAGGAGCTGGACGATATGAGATCCAAGGGACTAGTGGACAGGTTAGCATCTATATGAAGTCGTCTACTCTAGCTAATTCTTGACTAGATGTATTCTCGAACGACAATCTCCGACGCAGGTATCTCGGTGCAGAGACAAACCGTGGGGAAGTAGACGAGCGTATGGATTTTCTATCAGTTACTATAGAGAGACCTTTTGAATCACATTGTTCATGGTTTCCATCAGCCAAATGTATATGTGAAAGTAAAAGCGCCAGGGTCATGTCTCATCCTGGATAGATGTCTGGATCTATGCTAGATCGTATTCTCGTTAGTTATGGAAAGTTATCTTTTGTAGCTCATTTTTCAAATTATCACAGATGATCTAAGAAAATTAAGGGGCGTTATCAATACTAAACGTAAGCGTTGTGGCGAGCAGAGAATATGTGGTCCAAAGCTGCTGCGGGATATCGATGACGTGCCCCTCCCACTCCACACTTCCAGACGCGTCGCGACACCTCGCCCATAGCGCATGCAACAGGCGGACAGGATGCGCTTCAAGGCATCGATACAGAACATAACAACCTTTACAAGTAGGTCTATGCCATTCCTCCAGAACATGAAATTGCTGACAATTACACAGAGCTCACAGCATCGCTTAATTCGCTCGGTCCGCTTGCGTGGGTCAAACTCAGCGAGGAGCAGGTATGCTTCACAATTATACCAGAACAGGGCACCCAAGTATGGGCGTAAGTCTGACGTCTAACCGTATGTTTGTCCCTCGTTCTAATGAAACATAGTGTTCTTTCTATTGTAAGCGTGGAGAAGATTAGTCGACAAAAGCAGAGCCTTAACGTGTGGCGCAGGACTCCATCTTTGAGACCATCAGCGTGCAATCAGCAGCGAACAATGTCATCAACCTTGAAGTACCCCTGGCATCACTGAATCGCGCTCTGAAGTCAGCAATTAATGCGACATCAGCTCAAATACGCCTCACCAAAAAGGATAATCTGCCTATGCTCGCTCTTACCATTGTCACCACCACATCGTCCAACACATACAGCGCCTTCCCCACAGGCAACAATGATGGCTTCGATACTGCCTTCGAAAGTGACTTTGGTGGTGGCAATCGCGAGACAATCGTGACCCAAGAGATACCTGTGCGAGTCCTCGCGCCAGACACAGTCGCTCATTTGCACGAGCCAGCCTGCCGAGAGCCAGACGTGCACATCATACTGCCGCCTCTAATGCAGCTCAAGAGCATCAGCGACAGATTTACTAAGCTGGCGCTCGCAGACACAAAGACAGGTAGCACCACTACTTCGGCTAGAACGCGTTTGGAAATCGCAGCAAACATGCATGGCTGTCTGAAGATGAGCATCAGATCTGATGCTATGAACATCTCATCCATTTGGACTGATCTCAACAATCCAGAACTTGATCCAGGTCACGTGGCAGGAGGTGAGAATGGCATTGCGGAGCACCCCAGTACGCGCATGAAGCAGCTCGGGAGCGCTGATGGACGAAGCGATGAAGGTTGGGCTGTAGTGCGTATTGATGGCCGTGACTGGGGCAAAGTCATGAGCGTCGGTAGACTGGGTGGGCGGGTCATTGCATGTAGATGGCCCCCATACACGGCACTTATTACCGATTGTCATGCTGACTTTGCGCAGGCTTCTGCCACGAGCACGCTTTGATCTTGTATGTTTACTTGCCTAACGACAATGGCGAGGATGAGTCGGTCTTGACAGTACGTTATGTTGCTCTTCACTGGTTTGCTGAACAGGTTGCTCACTTGAACGTAGTACTTCATCAGCTCCTACAGCGCATAGTCATGAGTCACTAGTATCTTTGCAGTCATCACCTAGTGCTACCACTCCTAGGAGAAAAGAGACCCTGTAATCCGCATACTGTTATGCAAATCCAAACTACGCTGTTGAAACTGCATCATGCAACCTCGCATCTACTCACTGCCCACTCAGCCTTACCCGTCCGCGGGACCCAACTACGTAGATCAGTCATGCAAGGCGACTCAGACCCCATCAGCCAGGGAGAAAACAGCCAAAAGAAAGAGCCAAACAGCGAGTTCCGAAGCTATCTACATACATTTCTTTGGCTGTGCATTTCATGCTGTTCGCATTCACCGTACTTCAAGCCCAAAGTGACTCGTATCGCTCCCTCACGTTACACCAAAGTCCCAAATAAATGCCCATCCCTCGCCTACCCCCGTACACGCCCCCATCTCCAATTACCTCTCGCCTCGTGGCGCAAGCACTAGGCGGAGCGCCCCATCCCATCGCGCCGGGAGCCCGGGAGGCGGAATCGCGGAAATGCGGAATGCAGTGTCTCGGATCCGATACGAACACGTGTTTGGCCAGGGACGCTACTATCGAGCTATGTAACAATGGTAACACTCCGTGAGGCTATGAATGGTTTCCATGAACATCCGTAGATCGCCTACCTTCTCCCACAGTTAATAGAAAATGACTGCGAATGAGTCGAACTAGATCACTGCGAAAGTCAGACGGTGATACCCAACAACCTCACCATCCAGCATCGTTCGATTCCTTGGATATTGGGACATAATCCAAGCAAGAAAACCTCTGAACCTCCCTACTGCTACTGCCTACAATCCGCATAACCGCATTCCCCACGTGTCGTTCGCACTCCCCATCCTTCCCACCCTTCAAGAGAGAGAGAAAAAAAGCACCCAAAATAAACCCCTCGCAACAATAAAATGGCCCCAAATACTCCCGAGTTAGGATAAGCGCAAGGCCCCAGGCTGACAATCACGTTCGGGGGATCCAAAAATAAACAACCGCATGCTCTCGCTCTGGGCTCACCGCACCGGCCAATGAGAAAGGGAGGTTGCCATGTAAAGGAAAAGCAAGAGTTGCCGGTTTGGGCGGATGCAGCGTCATGTCAGCATAAGGGAGTCATATTAGGATTCAGTCAGTCATGTCAAGGTGGTCAGTCAGCCCTACAAGCGCTTGTCGCGCTTGTTTTGATTTTGCGTGTCTGGACAAGGTATGTGTGTGGTGGATGGGAAGGATGATGATGTGGGGGTGGATGAGAGAGAAAAGAACCTATTTTTGGGGGGTTGGGTTCGGGCCTCGGTTAGGTGGGTAGGTGGGATACAGAGGTGAGGGCGTGCGTACGTGCGGGACCTGCAGAGGAGAACTTGGAGGTGTGGCTTTGGGGCTTGTGGGCATGTTGCGAGATGGGCGCGTATGAAGGGGGGGGTGATGGGGGGGAAGGGAGGGGGGTATGATGGGAGAGTGTTGGTGCGGGTGCAACGATACAAAGGTAAGTATTGATTGCTGTCGAGGTATCCCGAATGTTCTGCTACAAAGGTATGCGAACATTGCTCGTTCCGTCAATCGATAGCGATGACAGCGATTTTGTGCCTTGCTGCCTGGTTTTGCGCCTCGTTGTGTTCCCTGCATATGCATATTCCGACTCGCACACCCATGACTTGTTCCCAAGACGTTGGATACCGATGGGAATTTAGGTCCAGCCATATCCTCAGGGGTTATTGTTGCCATGTGCTTGCTGCTGGTCAGTTATTCCCGGTCTCCTGGTCTGCCGCAATGCCTGCTCGCTCGTGGCTGTCCTTGGGGCCATCCGAACATGGCGTATTTCCCAATGCCGAGTGACCGAGAAGCCGAAGGAACGTGTGAGAGCATGCAAGATGTATTGGATAAGGATCGGGAGTCAAGCTTCGAGGCGTACATTGTTTGCTGTGTGGGTGAATAAGGTCTGCGAGCGTTTTCCCCGTCAGGAAATTACTGCCAGCTCTTCGTTCGGGGAGTAAATCCTTCACAGCCCTCGTGGGTGTACAGCCCGCGTTGTTTTAGCATAGGTACCTTACCATACCAGACGAACGTTGGTTCCTGCATCCCAAAATACCAGTGTGGAGATATGGCCGGTTCAGCTGAGGGCTGGCAGCGGTAGCTATACCCAATAGAGGCATATAGTCGCCCACTATGATAGTAGAATGGGTGCTAGAGGGCAGTACAGCTGAACATTGTGCGCTGAACGTACCAGGATGCACCAGAGGCCGTCGCTGAGGGCTGCACACGTCGCCGAAGGGCTGCATGACGAATGCTACCGTTCCCATTGCCCAGGCACCATTTGGCATAGACAGGCATATGGGTATGCGGGTAGGGCTAAAGCACAAGCGCTCTGACATGCACCTACGAGTACATATGCTAGCGATAGTGTCGGAGCAGCATCTTGGCTAGTACTGCAACTTGATTCGCCTGCCTCAGGCTTCACCCAAGCCCCCCTCATCTGGGTGGCGGGCCCGAGTCCAAAGCAACACGATGCAACGTTGCGCAGGTGTAGTTTGCACTTGGACACGGCTCGCACAACGAACTCTGGCTACGTACGCATGGCTCGCTCAGAAGCGGTATCTTGTAAAAAAGAACATGGGCGCTCCGATAGGATTCCTGCTATGGAGTAGTAAGAGTTGTGCAGTGCAGATGGTTGACCAAAACGGGAAGTGAAAACGACCAGCAACGAAGCTGCATGACTGTGTCAAGCCGTCCAATGACATGGCGAAGTGCGCTTATGGATGAACAAAGCCGTTCGGGGAGGAGCTCGCATGGGCCGCCCAAGGCCATGGCGTGGGGGAGGTTGGAAGAGGAATGTGGTTGCTGCAAACCCAGTCGTCTCGCATCGTCATATCCTACTCTCGTCATTGTAAGCAGCAATTAGGAGCACCACCAAGACGTTTGGAGCAAACTCTCGCACTTTCTGCCTTACACATGACCAAGCACGTGTAGAATGACTCTTCTTTCCTTGTGCTTTGTAATCCACACGGAAAAGTCACCAATAAGCAGCTCTGTCCCACGCTTTTCTGCACGCTTCCGTGTAAGTAGTCAGCAAGCCAAGTTAAGCTGCGCACACTTACATACGTACATACACACCCATCCACATTGTCTACCCATGTCGCTCTTCCCCCTGCTCGTCCGTGCATTTGCATCACATTGCGGCTCTCTCACCCGGCGGGTCCCTTGTTTTCACACTGCCACGCTGCCCTAGGACTTATTCCTGTCTTCCCAAGCAGAATCCCTATAGCGTGTTACTGCGCACCCCCGCTCGCCGGCGACTAACGGCTACGGATGACTAGATCGTGGCTTGAACCAGGGCCGCGCGCCCGCCACCGTTCCACCGCTGTAGTTGGATAGGCGTAGTAGGCGTGTATGGTCGCTGAATAAAAAAAATGGCCTGTGCGTATATAGACGGTTTGGATGCCTGGCTGAAAAAGAAGGCGGAGAGAAAGTTGGAACGGATACGCAAGCTCACAGGCATCCGAGCGCCCTTTTTATCTTCCTTCCTTTGCCCGTCCGGTTCCCGAGTGGTACTATTCCCATTTCCAATCTTCCGTCGTCGTTTCTAGTCGACCTCTTGTTTCATATAAGTCGAGTCCGCATCTCTCTTTTTGTGTCTCGGTTTCAGTCAGACATCCAGTCATCCATCCTTCTCTTTTACGCCTTTCTTCAGTCATCACCAAGTGTGTCTTGTTTCAGCACCAACATCATCCACTTGGATACTACTCCGCGTACTTGTCGTCTTAACCAACACTGTTTCACTCTCAAGACTTCAGTGCGAGACATTCTCATCTTCGCCATCTTCCATATCAAACAAAGTCTCAGACAGACTACGAACAAAGCACTTTATCAAAGTCTCAGCAATGTCACCATCAAACACCCAGGAGGACGCCGCTGCCCAAGGCCGTGGCGGATATAACTAAGACCCGAGCGGGCCGTGCCGTCAAACCATGCCGGGACTCACCTTGAAACACATCAGCATTACTTGTGGCCTGTTCTCTCCTTCATCCTGGCCCTCAACTCATTTACTCTGTACCATGACGATACCATGATGAACACGATACCCTCCATTTCGGCCCTTAAACTCAACCAACTATCAACCTCCCTACGTTGATATTTTCTTCTCCTCTTTCAACACTTTCAACACATTCACCAAACTTCATCTCTTGTACTTTTAGTTTCTCTCTCTTTTTTTTTGTTACCTTACCCCTCCATTTCTTCTCGTCTTTTTTTCTTTGGATTCAGGCATAGCGAGCGACGGCGTCAAGGGAAGCAAACCTTAGACAGGACAGGGATACCACGGATCAAAGGCATTGCTGGGCGTTTATTTGGGATACAAAGGAACATGTTGGGATACCCCTTTCTTGTTGTGTTAATGAACATGTTATGCTCGGGTAAACAAAAGGAGCATACGGGTTTTTGGGATATGGTATACACAGTGTAGGAGTTTTTGGAGTTTGTTGTATCTTACATTGACCTTTTATTTTTTTGTTTGAATTGATACTTTAAACTGATTTTGATCGTCTTCTTGAATGTCCTTGGGTTTCCGCTTTAGGACTATCAATCAGAGCAGCATGGTTACGTTGGTGGCTTCTTGTAACCACCCTGCTAACTTTGCTGCTACTTGATCGCACATTCTAGGCTAGCCCCTCTATTTTTGATATCCCCGTTTGGAGTTTTTGGTAAACTGACAAAATCGTATGAGAATGTTGCTACTTTCCAACGCAGAATCTAACAAAATACTAATATTAGCGAAATGTCCATAACAAACCTCCGCCAATGACAGCGACACATGAATGGCGACCACCATTTTGAGGCCCCGACGATCCACAGGTGCTGTGCCACAATCGGTACAGCACGGACAACGTGATGCTACAAGCGTTATGGCTTATCCCCAGGACACATGCGCTTAGCCCCCCTTCGGAGCCTTACGTCTGACTCTCGGGGGGCCAAAACCAAGGAACGCCTTGAGGGTTCTTCCAGAGCGTTGCACAACACGACCAGGCAAAGAGACAGGGGCCAGGGTGACTTACTTTTCAAAAACAACCCCCAAAACTTCTTCGACATCCCCGCTCTCGCCTCGGCCCGTGATACGAGCCAGGGCGTCAGCAGCGGACCGTAGACATTCGGCAGCGACCACAACGTCCACTTCATCTGCCTCGCCATCCTTTTCCGCACCGGTCGGGCATGCAACTGACGACGAACTGTTGACGGTCGTGAGAAAGGCAGAGAGGTGGCTGAGGCACTCGGATAGGAGAAGACGCTGACGCTCGGTTGCGCCCAAAGATTCTTGCCATATGCTTGGATCCGGATCGGAGTCGGAGTCGGGTACAAGTGCCGTGGTCATAGATTTGAAGATGTCTTGCAGAGTGGCGAGGAATACCGGTATATTGCCAGCCGTGACCTCTTTGCAGGAAATGAAACATACCCGGTCTTCGGGAAGCCCCAGCGTACAATGAACTTTCTGCTTCCATTTTCGTTGACCGGTGTCAAGAGCAGAGATCTGGTCGCTTTTGTTGATAGCGACTATAACATTGATGCCAATGTCAACACACTGCTTCGCCGTCTTCATGACCTCAACATCCATATCGGCTGTAGCATCTTGGACGACAATCAAGACATCTGACTCGAGGGCCCTTTGCTTAGCGCGCCTGATGCCTTCTTGTTCTACAGCTCCAACCACGTCACCACCCACTAGGCCAGCCCTGCGTAAACCAGCCATGTCGCCAATCTTCACGAGCCATCCACCCAGATCCAGTCCTACCTCGACCACATCTCGCGTTGTGCCAGCTTCATGGGAGACGATGGCAGCATCTCGCCCAACGATACGATTTAACAAGCTGCTCTTGCCTGCGTTGGGTGCTCCAAGAAGCGCAACACTAATTCCGTTGCGCAGCAATTCTCCACGTACAGCGTTGGAAATGTGCGCTTCCATCTGTGTGCTCAAGACCTGGACTTGGGATGCAACAGAGGCACACAACACTGCCGGTGATTCATCAAAGTGTTGGTCTTCGGAGAAGTCGATCAAGGCTTCAAGCTCACCCCGCGCCTCCAGTAGCAGTTTGCGCCACTTCTCATAACGCTTAGCCAGCGAAGAAGTCGTGCCTCTCACAGAAAGTTTGCGTTGTTGCTCGGTAGAAGCTGACAAAGTCTCGCCTAGCGACTCGATCTGGGGCAGGTTCATGCGATTGTTGGCGAAAGCGCGTCGGGTGAATTCTCCAGGTTCTGCATATTGGATCTGTGAGCGCATGAATGCTGGAGTTTCTGATACTGTGCCACATTCAGGTATAGCTGCCAGCACTGCACGCACAACTGCTGGGCCGCCATGTACATGCAGTTCCAAAACATCCTCGCCAGTCACAGTTCTGGGCGCTGGGAAGAACAGAACAAGGGCACCCGAGTCAAGTATCGTCGCAGGCGAAGGCGGTGAATGTGGGGCATATAATTTCCGGAGAGTCGCATGCCTGGGCTTAGGGAATTCAGTGGAAGGACAAAGGCCTTGATATACCTGATAGACGTTCAGTATTTCGCTATGCGGCATGACATGGTGGGCCGAGGGTCACCAACCTGCTTGCATGCTGGACCAGAAACGCGAATTACGGCTATTGCAGCCCTTCCGGGAGCCGTAGAGAGCGCATAAATGGTAGAGTCTTCGTGATTTGCATGGTAAAAACGACGCTGCGATTCTCTCAAGGTGAGTTGGACATGGTGGTGGGGTTCATGGCGCAATGCTCTGATCCGTGAGTAATTGAGAGAATTGAAGACGTAGTGAGATGAAATATTAGAACTCCGCAGTCTCTGGTGACATATGCGACTGAGAGCAGCAATTTTGGCTCTCATTCCGAGCTGATTCATCACATGTTCGCCATTTTTGCCAATGTTTTCAAGACGGGAACATGAGCAAAGATGGAATGGTTCCACACACCTCCGCAATGGTCCGTGCATGCGCTAAAATAATTTCTTGAGATCGTCGCTGGCTTGTGCCTGCGCTCCAACCTGTTCATCCTGCTCGTCCTGTGCCAGAGCGACAGAGCTTGCTCTCTCTGAATATACACACTTTGTGTTACACTACGGTCTACTACAGGCTTCTGCGATACGTATACCAGGACGACAACCGCGCGTCAGTGACGCGCCACCAACGACACCATGGCTTCGGACGACCTAGTATGGTCCATTATCGGCACCGACTTTTGCAGTTTCAGTAGGCAATGCATACAGCTCTGCATGGGAATCGAAACTGATTTGTGCTAGAGCTTAAGACAACAAAAGACCAGACCTTTTGCAGAAACGAGCACAACGTATCAGGTTACTGCTCA